GGACATGGGGACTGGTGACACCTGGGGACAGGTGGGACGTGGGGACAGGTGGGACATGGGGACAGGTGGGACATGGGGACAGGTGGGACATGGGGTCAGGTGGGTCATGGGGACAGGTGACACCTGGGGAGGACAGGTGGGACATGGGGACAGGTGGGACGTGGGGACAGGTGGGACATAGAGGGGAGGGCACAGGTGGGACAGGTGGCACCTGGGGACAGGTGGGACATGGGGACAGGTGACACTTGGGGACAGGTGGGAGATGGGGACAGGTGGGACTGTGGGGGTGGGGGTGGCAGTAGAGGTAGGGCCAGTTTGGAGGAGCTGAAGGGTTTGGGGGGGACAGGTGGGACACAGGGGACAGGTGAGGGCAGTTTGGGGGCACAGGTGGGACACAGGGGACAGGTGAGGGCAGTTTGGGGGCACAGGTGGGACACAGGGGACAGGTGAGGGCAGTTTGGGGGCACAGGTGACTGGGCAGGGCATGGGGTGCCAGTGGGAGGGGGACGATGGGACCAGTTTGGGGGCAGGAAAAGGGCTCAGGTGAGCTTGAGGGGACAGGTGGGACCAATTTGGGGAGCCCAGGTGTGCTCCAGGATTGCCCAGGTGAGCCTGGGGAGGGCCCAGGTGAGTTTGGGGTGCCCCAGCTCAGTTTTGGGGTGTCCCCCCCACCTGCAGTGACGAGCTGCGCGAGGCCTGGCGCATCTTCACCCCCCTCCTGCACCAGATCGAGCAGCGGCGCGAGCCCCCCATCCCCTACACCTACGGCAGGTGAGGGGGCACCGGGGGGGGGCACCTGGGGGGTGTCACCTGGGGGGCACCTGGGGGGGCACCTGGGGGGTGTCACCTGGGGGGGTGTCACCTGGGGGGCACCTGGGGGGCACCTGGGGGGTCACCTGGCGTGTCACCTGGGGGGCACCTGGGGGGCACCTGGGGGGTCACCTGAGGGGTGGCACCTGGGGGCACCTGGGGGTCACCTGGCATGTCACCTGGGGGGTCACCTGGGGGGTACCTGGGGGGCACCTGGGGGGGCACCTGGGGGGTGTCACCTGTGGGGGGGCACCTGGGGGGCACCTGGGGGGTGTCACCTGGGGGGTGTCACCTGGGGGGGCACCTGGGGGGCACCTGGGGGGCACCTGGGGGGGGGTCACCTGGGGGGGGTCACCTGGGGGGGGTCACCTGGGGGGCACCTGGGGGGGGTCACCTGGGGGGGGTCACCTGGGGGGCACCTGGGGGTGTCACCTGGGGGGTGTCACCTGGGGGGCACCTGGGGGGTGTCACCTGGGGGGTGTCACCTGGGGGGGTGTCACCTGGGGGGCACCTGGAAGGTCACCTGGGGGGCACCTGGGGGGTCACCTGGGGGACACCTGGGGGGGGCACCTGGGGGGTCACCTGGGGGGCACCTGGGGGGCACCTGGGGGCGGGACACGCCGCGGTTTGGGGGTCTGGGGGTGCACCTGGGGGGACACACCTGGTGCAGGAGTTTGGGGGGCGGGGAGGGACACACCTGGGCACACCTGGGGGTGCTGTTGGGGGTCCCACCGGGCATTTGTGCTGTCCCAGAGGATTTTGGGGGGTCGCGGGGATCCCCCCTGACCCCACGTCCCCCCTTTGCCCAGCCGGGGTCCCCCCGAGGCGGACGAGCTCCTGCGGCGGGCGGGGTTCCTGTACGAGGGCACCTATCGCTGGGTGCCCCCCCCCCGCGCCCGACCCCCACCCCTGACCCACGGCCAGACCCCCAAAAACACCCCAGGGCCTGTGGGACCCCCCCGCGCCCGACCCCCACCCCTGACCCACGGCCGGACCCCCAAAACACTCCAGGGCCCGTGGGACCCCCCCAACCCCATAATCCCCCCCAAATCATGCCCCAAACACACCCCAAATCCTGCCCCACACACACTCCAGCCCCCCAAAAACACCTCCGGGCTAGGGGTGACCCCCACCCCACCCCACAGACCCCCCCAACTTTGCCCCACAGACCCCCGTGGGCCCCCCAAGCCCCCCAGCTGGGACCAAAGCTCCCCTTCCCCAAATCAAGATCCCAAAGTTTAATTGTCCCCTCATTGTCCCTCCCCCCACATCAGGAGTAATTAATGATTAATGCAAATCAATGGATCAATTAATCCGCCATTAACCAGGACCAATTAAACCCACCTTTGGCTAATTAATTGTCACCAGCACCTTCTAATTGCCACCGGGCACTTACAGGGCAGAGCTCCCCTATGGCACTTATGGGGCGGAACCCCAACACTTATGGGGCAGAATTCCGACACTTGTGGGGCTGAACCCCAACACTTATGGGGCGGAACCCCAACACTTGTGGGGTCAGGACCCCAACAGTTATGGGGCGGAACCCCAACACTTGTGGGGCTGAAACCCAACACTTGTGGGGTCAGGACCACAACAGTTATGGGGCGGAACCCCAACACTTGTGGGGTCAGGACCCCAACAGTTATGGGGCTGAACCCCAACACTTGTGGGGCAGAACCCCAACACTTATGGGGCGGAACCCCAACACTTGTGGGGTCAGGACCCCAACAGTTATGGGGCTGAACCCCAACACTTGTGGGGCAGAACCCCAACACTTGTGGGGTCAGGACCACAACAGTTATGGGGCGGAACCCCAACACTTGTGGGGTCAGGACCACAACAGTTATGGGGCTGAACCCCAACACTTGTGGGGCAAAACCCCAACACTTGTGGGGCTGAACCCCGACAGTTATGGGGCAAAACCCCAACACTTGTGGGGCACAATCCCCGTGGGGGAGGGGAGCCCCTGGATCCAAAGGGGGCGGGGTTACAGTGCATGGGTGGGGTTTATGCTAATGAGGATGCAGGGTTTATGCTAATGAGGATGCCGGGTTTATGCTAATGAGGATGCAGGGTTTATGCTAATGAGGATGCAGGGTTTATGCTAATGAGAAGCAGGGTTTATGCTAATGAGGAAGCAGGGTTTATGCTAATGAGGATGCCGGGTTTATGCTAATGAGGAAGCCGGGTTTATGCTAATGAGAAGCAGGGTTTATGCTAATGAGGAAGCAGGGTTTATGCTAATGAGGATGCAGGGTTTATGCTAATGAGGAAGCATTGCCATTGCTGGGAGAACTCTGGCGGGGGCGGGGCCAGCGAGCCAGCAGCCAATCCGGAGGCAGTGGGCGGGGCCAAAGGGGGCGGGGCTGCACCAGAGCACCAATGGCACCGCTGTTACCTGAACACACCTGGGGCACACCTGGGCACTGCTGGGCACACCTGGGGCACACCTGGGCACACCTGGGCACACCTGGGGCACACCTGAGCACACCTGAGCACACCTGGGCACTGCTGAACACACCTGGGGCACACCTGAGCACTGTTGGGCACACCTGGGCACACCTGAGCACTGCTGAGCACACCTGAGCACACCTGAGCTCACCTGAGCACACCTGGGGCACACCTGGGCACTGCTGGGCACACCTGGGCAGTGCTGGGCAGTGCTGGGCACACCTGGGGCACACCTGGGCACACCTGAGCACACCTGGGCACTGCTGGGCACACCTGGGCACACCTGGGGCACTGCTGGGCACTCCTGAGCACACCTGGGCACACCTGGGGCACACCTGGGGCACACCTGGGCACACCTGGGGCACTGCTGGGCACTCCTGAGCACACCTGGGCACACCTGGGCACACCTGAGCACACCTGGGTACACCTGAGCACACCTGGGGCACACCTGTGGCACTCCTAGGCACACCTGGGGCACACCTGAGCACTGCTGGGGCACACCTGTGGCACTCCTAGGCACACCTGGGGCACACCTGAGCACACCTGGGGAACACCTGGGCACACCTGGGGCACTTCTGGGCACACCTGAGCATACCTGGGCACACCTGAGCACTCCTGGGGCACACCTGAGCACTGCTGGGGCACACCTGGGCACTGCTGGGCACACCTGGGGCACACCTGAGCACACCTGGGGCACTGCTGGGCACACCTGGGGCACACCTGAGCACTGCTGGGGCACACCTGGGCACAGCTGGGCACACCTGGGGCACACCTGAGCACTGCTGGGCACACCTGGGGCACTGCTGGGCACACCTGGGGCACACCTGAGCACACCTGGGACACACCTGGGGCACACCTGGGCACACCTGGGGCACACCTGGGACACACCTGGGACACACCTGGGCACTGCTGGGCACACCTGGGGCACACCTGGGCACACCTGGGGCACACCTGGGCACACCTGAGCACACCTGGGCACACCTGGGACACACCTGGGCACTGCTGGGCACACCTGGGGCACACCTGGGCACACCTGGGGCACACCTGGGCACACCTGAGCACACCTGGGCACACCTGGGGCACACCTGGGCACACCTGGGGCACACCTGAGCACTGCTGGGGCACACCTGGGGCACACCTGGGACACACCTGGGGCACACCTGGGCACTGCTGGGCATACCAGCAGGAAGGCAGCAGGATGACCAGAAGGATGGACAGAAGGATGGACAGAAGGATGACCACCAGGACGGCCACCAGGATGGACAGGACAGCCAGGAGGACGACCAGAAGGATGACCAGCAGGATGGCCAGCAGGATGACCAGAAGGATGACCAGCAGGGTGACCAGGACATCCAGTAGGATGACCAGAAGCATGACCAGCAGGATGACCAGCAGGATGACCAGCAGGATGGACAGAAGGATGACCAGCAGGATGACCAGCAGGATGACCAGCAGGATGGACAGAAGGATGACCAGAAGGATGACCCCCAGGATGACCACCAGGATGACCAGGAGGATGACCAGAAGGATGGCCAGCAGGATGGCCAGGAGGATGACCAGAAGGATGACCACCAGGATGACCACCAGGATGACCCCCAGGATGACCAGCAGGACAGAGCCTGGCCACAGGACATGCCCAGGACAGCAGACCGGTGCTGCTGGCAGTGTTACATCAAATACAGCGTGATAAAATTTAACACAAATGAATAAAATGTAAATTGAAATTGATAAAATTCACATTTTTTACCGTTAAATACAATTTACTACAACTGACACGTGAACAAATACAGCTCAGAGGGATCTACAGCTCTACAACATTAAATACATTTTAAATCAAAATTCATACAGCTTGAAATGAATATAAGTAAATCTAATTTAATGCAATGTAAGCCTTACTTCATATAACTTAACGCAAGTAAATACTATTTAACATTATTTAAATTTAAACAGATACAGCTTAGTTTTATGCAATTAAATAAGATTTTATAGAATTTAAATTCATACAACCTAATGTTAATGCAAGTAAATATTGTTCAATAGCATTTAAAGTAATACAACTTAAATTTATACAACCAAATATATTTTATACAACCAAATATATTCTATATAACCAAATATATTTATACAACCAAATATATTTTAATACAAGCTGAAATTCATACATACTTTAATACAACTAAATACAAATTAATACAATCTGAATTTAAATTCATACAACTTAAGGTTAATGCAAGTAAATATTATTTAATATCACTTAAGTTTAAACTGATACAACCTAAATTTATACACTTAAATACAGTTTAATACAATATAAGTTTAAATTCAACCTAAAATTGCTACAAGTAAATACAAACGAATGCAATCTGAATTTAAATTCATACAACTTAATGCAAATAAATACTACTTAACACCACTTACATTTAAACTAGCACAAGTTAAATTTATACAGCTAAACTCAATTGACTACAATATCAATTTAAATTAATACAATTTGAAATTAATACAATGCAAAATAAGATTAACATCTGTCAAATTGATATCAACAGCTACAAAATCCCTACAAAATCAGCTTTTTGCAAACACCACGCGTGGTTTTTTTGGCCTGGTGACCAAACTCCGTGGGCTGGGGATGAGCACGTTCGTGTTTTGCAGCCTCAGGAACTTCTGGGGCCTCGGAGCCCGACTGATGTTCTCCATTCCCACAGGTGAGGTCCTCACCTGATGCTCCTCTCCTCCCCTCAGGTACTCCTCAATTAGCGCCACCTGCAATTAGAAAGAAGCGGCGTCACAAGCAAATCCATTCTCCTCCATAAAAAACTTTATAAAAAATGATAATTCTAATAAAAAACACGCAGCGGTGCCCGACTTTGGCGTTATTTTGGTTTCTCCATTTCTGTTTGGAGAATGTTTTGTCTGACCTGCAGCAGATCTGCCCTCAGTGGGATGTTATAAACATTAAATACCAAAAACTACCTGTGGTATATTTACAATATAAACTGTAAATTTATTTTAAATTGTAACATCCCTCAGTGGGATGTTACAAACATTAAATACCAGAAACTACCTGTGCTATATTTACAATATAAATGGTAAATTTATTTTAAATTGTAACACCCCTCAGTGGGATGTTACAAACATTAAATACCACAAACTACCTGTGCTATATTTACAATATAAATTGTAAATTTATTTTTAATTGTAACATCCCTCAGTGGAATGTTACAAGCTTTATATACCACAAACTATGTGTGCTATATTTACAATATAAATTGTAAATTTATTTTAAATTGTAACACCCCTCAGTGGGATGTTACAAATATTATATACCACAAACTATGTGTGCTATATTTACAATAACGAGCCAATGTAACACCCCTCAGTGGGATGTTACAAACATTAAATATCACAAACTACCTGTGCTATATTTACAATATGAATTGTAAATTTATTTTAAATTGTAACACCCCTCTGTGGGATTTAAAATTTAAATTTTTAAATTAACAACTTTTAAATTAAAAAATTAAGAGGGAGATGTTTTTGGGTCAGTGAAGGATGTTTTTGGGTCGGTGAAGGATGTTTTTGGGTCAGTGAAGGATGTTTTTGGGTCAGTGAAGGATGTTTTTGGGTCGGTGAAGGATGTTTTTGGGTCGGTGATTGGGGATGTTTTTGGGTCAGTGAAGGATGTTTTTGGGTCAGTGAGGAAGATATTTTTGGGTCAATGAGGGGAATGTTTTTGGGTCAGTGAAGGATGTTTTTGGGTCAGTGAAGGATGTTTTTGGGTCAGTGAAGGATGTTTTTGGGTCGGTGAAGGATGTTTTTGTGTCGGTGTGGGGGATGTTTTTGGGTCGGTGAAGGATGTTTTTGGTTCATTGAGGGGGATGTTTTTGGGTCAGTGAAGGATGTTTTTGGGTCAGTGAAGGATGTTTTTGGGTCACTGAGGGGGATGTTTTTGGGTCGGTGAGGGATGTTTTTGGGTCAGTGACTGGGGATGTTTTTGGGTCAGTGAGGGATGTTTTTGGGTCAGTGATTGGGGATGTTTTTGGGTCAGTGAAGGATGTTTTTGGGTCAATGAGGGGGATGTTTTTGGGTCAGTGAGGGATGTTTTTGACTGTGCGATGCCTTTATCCCCAATTTTTATTTATTTATGTTGAATAATAAGTTTTACACCTTTAAGACTTGGCCCAGGAGTGAAGGGCAGGGGAAGAAGCGCAGAGTTTGTTTTCAAGAACTGCACTCCCTCCTCCACATTCCTGCTCCTGCACTGTGTTTGTTCACATGGCAGTTGTAGTAAATGGTATTTAATTTAAAAATGTGAGTTGTATAAATTCCAATTTACATTTCATTCAGTTGTGTTCCTGCGGACGGACAGACAGCAGGACAGAGCCCTGCTTTGCTTTCCCAGTCAGTTTTTGCTCACTGAGGCAAAGAAGTTCCCTGGGCTGTTTTTTTCCCTGAGTTTGGAGCTGCTCTGGCTGAACACCAGAAGAGCAGCGGCAGCTCCGGGCCGGGGCCGCGGCATTTCCAGCGCAGGAGGGGCTGAGCAGGGACTGAGCGAGCCCATCTGGGGGGAATTTCTGAGTTCTTGGAATGGCAAGAAGTTTTATTGTTTAATATTATCTCAGTTTGCTTGTTTAATAAACAGGTTTTTCCCACTTTTCTCCAAAGACGCTCTTTCCCAAACTAGTTAGGGGGAGAGGCCAATTAAATTTGCTTTCCTAAAGGAGCCCTTTGGGGGTTCTTTCCCCAAATGTGCCCTGAACCAGGACACCCGCCCAAGGAGGAGCTGCTCTGCTGCCCTTCGCTGCCCTTCGCTGCAGGCTGTTTGTTACCTTCTGGATTTTGGTCCACACACGTTCTCCAGTTCCTCCTGCCAGGATGTCCGCGGCATCTTCCATCAGCGACTGCAGCTGGGGCGGCCGAGATACCATCAATCAGTGTGGAACTCCCAGAGAAATCCCCTCTCTGAACACACAAATCCAACCCCAATTCAAATCCTTTGGCACCCCGGTGGTTTTGGGCCTCATCGTGCACACAGCGAGCGCGGCCAACTCGTCTTTGCTTCTGTCCTTGCGCTGCGTTCTGGTGGATCTAAAATACTTGTGGATCTAAATTGGGTCCTGTGGATCTAAATTGGGTCTTGTGGATCTAAAATACTTGTGGATCTAAACTGGGTCTTGTGGATCTAAAATACTGTGGATCTAAATTGGGTCTAGTGGATCTAAAATACTTGTGGATCTAAATTGGGTCTTGTGGATCTAAATTGGGTCTTGTGGATTTAAATTGGGTCTTGTGGATCTAAAATACTGTGGATTTAAATTGGGTCTAGTGGATTTAAATTGGGTCTTGTGGATCTAAATTGGGTCTGGTGGATCTAAAATACTTGTGGATCTAAATTGGGTCTGGTGGATCTAAATTGGGTCTCGTGGATCTAAATTGGGTCTTGTGGATCTAAATTGGGTCTGGTGGATCTAAATTGGGTCTTGTGGGTCTAAATTGGGTCTTGTGGATCTAAATTGGGTCTGGTGGATCTAAAATACTTGTGGAACTAAATTGGGTCTTGTGGATCTAAATTGGGTCTTGTGGAACTAAATTCCCTTCCCACAGCCCCTGCCAGGGCAGTCCTGGCACCCTGCACCCTTCCCAACCCCTGGGAAATACTTCAGAGACTCTTAATTCAGAGACAGAGAGGTGGGGGTTGGATCCAGGGCATCAAAGTTTAGGAACAAAATGGGGAAAACCGCTGCTTGAGACCTGCCCTGTTGCTGCACTCTAAAAAATCCCCTTCCAAAACATGGGGTTAAGTTAAAGGGAGCGCAAACAGAAGTTTTTGGAGTCTCTTCACAAGCATTTCATGACGAGGAATTAAGCTGGACCAGCACCAGAGGTGTCAGCAGTCCTGGGGTGTGCTCAAGGCTCACCCAAAGGTGTCCCGGAGGAGGAGGAGGAGGAGGAGTGACACCCTCTGTGCACTGAGGGCAAGGAGGAGATGTTCCCCCTGCTCTTCTCTCAACAGCCCCAGGAATCCTTCACCAACTTGGGGCACCTCTGTGAGTCTGACAAGCGAGCAGGAGCAGGCAGAGAGCTGTTCTGAGACAGGGAGCGTCTGGTGGTGGGACCCAGGACAGAAAATCAACATTTTCCCTCCTTTCCTCCTGCCCTTCTCAGCCATACACTGATTCAGGCTGATTTCCCACTGGTGGTGGTTCCCAGGACAGAAAATCAATGTTTTCCCTCCTGCCCTCCTCAGCCATACACCGATTCAGGCTGATTTCCCACTGGTGGTGGTTCCCAGGACAGAAAATCAATTTTCCCTCCTTTCCTCCTGTCCTTCTTCAGGCTGTTTTGCTGCAGCTCAGAGATATCAAGGCAGCCAGAGCTGAAAATCTTTGCAATCATTTTTTTCCAGACTGATTTGGGGAGGTTTTGGAGGCAGAGAAGATTTTCAGGTGAGTCCTGGTGGTTCTGTCAGTTGTCCTTGCAGGTGATCAGCTCCTGCTCCATCACTGAGGGAGGATTTGAGAACTTTTCTATCCCCACATTACAAAGACCTTCAGAGCACAGCGTGTGTCGGATTAATCTCTTTTCTGACCCAGCAAGGGGTAACTGAGAGATGTTTTAAAAGCTTTTATTCTATTTTTTCCCTATGTAAACCTTCTATCAAACTTTAAGCATTCTCTACAGATCCATTTCCACCCGGGTGGAAGAACAGAACCGAACCGTCACTCAGCCTGAAGAAGCCAAAACAAGTGATGGAAATGAAAACCTACCAGCCTGAAGAAGCCAAAACGAGAGTTGGAAATGAAAACCTACCAGCCTGTCGTCCTCCTGAGAGCCTCTCTGCAGGTGGGGAAGGGTGGCCAGCTCGGCCACCACCTGGGCCATCACCTGGGCCATCACCTGGGCCACCACCTGGGCGCGTTCCTGCCCGTTCTGCAGGTGGCTGAGCAGGGTGGCACCGCGGAGCTGCTCGATGGCGCGGGCACAGGGGCCACGCGTGTCCTGTGGGCCGGGAGAGGAGAGGGGGTGAGAGGAGAGCACAGGGACGCTCTGAGCTGTGGAGCCGTGTGCCGCTGGGCTTCTCGTCCGTGTGTCCGCGTGACACACGTGTGTCTGTGTGTCCGTGTGTCCGTCTGTCCGCGTGTCTGCGTGTCCGTGTGTCCGCGTGTCTACGTGTCCGTGTGTCCGTGTGTGTCTCTGTGTCCGAGTGTCTGTGTTTTCGTGTGTCTGTGTGTCCGCGTCTCCGTGTGTCCGTGTGTCCGTGTGTCCGTGTGTCCGTGTGTCTGTGTGTCCGCGTGTCCGTGTGTCCCTGTGTCCGTGTGTCCATGTGTCCGTGTGTCTGTGTGTCCGTGTGTCCGTGTGTCTGTGTGTCCGTGTGTCCGTGTGTCCACGTGTCCGTGTGTCCATGTGTCCGTGTGTCCATGTGTCCGTGTGTCCGTGTGTCTGTGTGTCCGTGTGTCCGTGTGTCCACGTGTCCGTGTGTCCATGTGTCCGTGTGTCCGTGTGTCCCTGTGTCCGTGTGTCCATGTGTCCATGTGTCCGTGTGTCCGTGTGTCTGTGTGTCCGCGTGTCCGCGTGTCCGCGTGTCCGTGTGTCCGTGTGTCCACGTGTCCATGTGTCCGTGTGTCCGTCTGTCCGCGTGTCTGCGTGTCCGTGTGTCCGCGTGTCTACGTGTCCGTGTGTCCGTGTGTGTCTCTGTGTCCGTGTGTCCGTGTTTTCGTGTGTCTGTGTGTTTGTGTGTCCATGTGTCCGTGTGTCCGTGTGTCCGTGTGTCCGTGTGTCCGTGTGTCCGTGTGTCCGCGTGTCCATGTGTCTGTGTGTCCCTGTGTCCATGTGACACACGTGTGTCCGTGTGTCTGTGTGTCCGTGTGTCCGTGTGTCCGCGTGTCTGCGTGTCCGTGTGTCCGTGTGTCCGTGTGTCCGTGTTTTTCTGTGTCCGTGTGTCCGTGTGTCCGCGTGTCTGTGTGTCCGTGTGTCCGCGTGTCTGCGTGTCCGTGTGTCCGTGTTTTTCTGTGTCCGTGTGTCCGTGCCGCTCCCGCTCTCAGCACTCTCAGCCCCTCCCTGCTGCCGGGTCGGGCCTCAGAGAGGACACGAGAAGAATTTTGTGCCACGAACTCGCCGGGAGGAGCAGGAAAATACAGACGCACCCGGGATGGGGAGGGGAGGCAGCAGATAACGAACACAAGGAGATTTCTCCTCTGGAATTGGCTTTTCACAGAATCAAAGAATTGCAGAATCACAGAATCAGAGAATCACAGAATCAGAGAATCGCAGAATCAGAGAATTACAGAATCACGAGGTTGGAAGAGACCTCTGAGATCATCCAAGTCCAGCCCATGCCCTCACTTTTCACAGAATTGCAGAATCACAGAATCACAGAATCAGAGATTCACAGAATCTCAGAATTGCAGAATCAGAGAATCAGAGAATCAGAGAATCACAGAGTCACAGAATCGCAGAATCACAGAATCATGAGGTTGGAAGAGACCTCCAAGATCATCAAGTCCAACCTACGCCCTAACTTTTCACAGAATCACAGAATTCCAGAATCCCAGAGTCCCAGAATCCCAGAATCACAGAATAACGAGGTTGGAAGAGACCTCTGAGATCATCCAGTCCAACCCATGCCCTCACACCTCAACCAGACCACAGCACCAAGTGCCAAGTCCAGTCTTTTTTTAAACATATCCAGGGATGGTGATTCCACCCTAGGAAGACAATTCCAGTATTTTACAGAATCACAGAATAACGAGGTTGGAAGAGACCTCCAAGATCATCAAGTCCAACCCATGCCCTGACACCACAACTGGCTCCTGCTTGGGGGCATTCCCTTCAAAGCTACAACTACAAGAGTGTGGGTTTGTTACTGGAAACACAGTCAAATCCTGATCTTTCTGAAAGCCCCAGTAAAACTGCAATTTAAAATTTTTTTTTTTGGTCCCCACAATTCTCTCTTTGCCTTTGGAGGTCAGATTCCTCTACTGCAACTGCTACAGTCTCAAAAGGGTAACAGGAAGAGGAAAAAACGTTGAAATCAGACAGGTTTTGCACTCCCCACAGTTCCCTTCTTCTGTAAATGAATTTGGAGGAACAGGACCACGCGGTCCAAACAGAGATCAGCAGAGAGGTCTGTTTTTCAGGGCACGGGGAAAAGAAACTCATCCTCCTTTTCTCCTTTGGAATTGGCTTCTCACAGAATCCCAGAATTCCAGAATCAGAGAATCAGAGAATCCCAGAATCCCAGAATTCCAGAATCACAGAATCGCAGAATCACAGAATAATGAGGTTGGAAGAGACCTCCGAGATCATCCAGTCCAACCCATGCCCTGACTTTCCACAGAATCCCAGAATCACAGAATTGCAGAATCAGAGAATCAGAGAATCACAGAATAATGAGGTTGGAAGAGACCTCTGAGTTCATCAAGTCCAACCCATGCCCTGACTTTTCACAGAATCACAGAATCCCAGAGTCCCAGAATCCCAGAATAGCAGAATCAGAGAATCAGAGAATCACAGAATCAGAAAGTCACAGAATCACAGAATCACAGAATCGCAGAATCAGAGAATCAGAAAATCAGAGAATCACAGAATCGCAAAATCACAGAATCACAGAATCACAAGGTTACAAGAGACCTCCAAGATCATCAAGTCCAACCCATGCCCTAATTTCACAGAATCACAGAATCCCAGAGTCCCAGAATCACAGAATCACAGAATCATGAGGCTGGAAGAGACCTCTGAGATCATCCAAGTCCAACCCATGCCCTAACTTTTCACAGAGTCCCAGAATCACAGAATAATGAGGGTTTAAGACACCTCCAAGACCATCAAGTCCAACCCATGCCCTAACTTTTCAAAGAATCACAGAATCCCAGAGTCCCAGAATCCCAGAGTCCCAGAATCCCAGAATCACGAGGTTGGAAGAGACCTCCAAGACCATCCACTCCAACCCATGCCCTGACACCACAACCAGACCTCAGTTCCATCAGCCCCTCCACTGAACATCACCCGACTGTCCTGGGCGGCTTTTCCAGTTCCAGGGGAGAGGCTGAGGAACACGTGCAGGGGTCAGCTCGTGATTTGGGTGCAGACAGGCCAATCCCTGGTCTGAAAGAACCTGGAGGAACTGAAGCCTGCAGGGCTGCTCTGCGGCCACCAGCCAGCCAAGAACGCGAAGTACGTTCTGGATTTCCCATTATTTGTGTGTGTAAGTGATTTTGTGAACCGTGTGACTGCAAAACAAAGGGAGAATTGACTTCTCTGAATTGTTGCCGTGGTTTGATAAGCTCGGGTTTAGCGCTGAGCTGGTTTGGTCCAAACCAGCCTGAGCAGAACGAGAAGCTGGATTGCAAATGAGGGAGATGGCAGCAGAAAGAAATTTTCTGTTAAACCCCATGAAGATACAACTTTTTCCTCTCCAAGTAAGCTGCAAGGTTTGGAGCCTGCAGCTGAACTTTGAACATTTTTAATTTAGATTACTCCTAGGCCCCTCCAAGGCCGCTTATCGGGGTCTAGTCTGAGTGGGGCAGCTCAATCCTCGCTGCAGACATAAATCGTGCTCTGTGTCACTCAGAAATTCTGCACCACCCTCATTCCACAAGGATCCAGATCTCAGTCGTGAATAAAAACGCTTCAAGAAGCAGCGATTGAGCCCCGAGGGAGCTCAGGGTGTGCTGTGGGTGTGAAATAAGAGTGAAGCTGCGTTGGTGCCTGTGCAGTGGGGGTACAACATCATGGGTAATAAAGATGGGAGGAAATTGCACACAGAGGGACTTTAAAACTGTGGTCACCGTTGAGTCATTCGGGACTCCTTCCCAAAAGAGTCTGAACCGCCCCAGCGCCGTTCCCAGCGCAATTCACGGCGCATTCCCGCACACGGCCGCAGCAGATGCAGCGGGAATCACCCCCAGAAAAGCCCACGCCAGAAACTGAACCGGATCCTCACCTTTATCCTGGAGCTCCCCACAAAAGCCACGGCTGCCATGATCCTTTTCCCGGCGTTCTGCCAGAACGTTTCCGCTTCTCCGCCCGTGCCGGGGCTGAACGGGATTTTCCGGCCTAGGGAGTGAACGAGGCCGTGTTTATTCGTCCCCGTTTTCTGTGTTTATTCGTCCCCTTTTCTCTGGGGGAGCCGCAGGAGGACTCGGGGGGTGGGAAGAGCTGTGGGGCCGTCAGGGCCACTGGCACCGATGGAAATGTGGGTCCTGAGACACCCCTCACCCCCTTTTTTAGCAAGGACTGTCGGGGTCGCCCCAGAGCCAGGCTGGTTCTTGAGCAACGTGGCACACCTGGGAAGACCGGCAGGTTCTGAGTCACAAACTTCTCCACGGCTTTTCCCAATTCTTTGTCTCTGAAGCCCAGAGTCAGTAGGTACTGCTGGCCAGGGTGGGATTCCGCCTTCTCCGGCAGCAGGTGAGTTCCATGCGGATCTGCACAGGGAAAGGAAAACCGTTCTCGCTGCCGTCGTGTTTCTTGTCAGCCGTAAGAGAAATCACTTTTTTTATTCCGGAGAAAACACGAGAAGTCTTTAAGAAGGAGTGAAACGTTCTCCGGAAACTTTACCAAAACACAGACAACAAAACCAGCACATCTGGGCTTTGAGTCTTAGAGCTCTGCAGCCTTTTCATCAACAACTTAAACTTTGCTGATGATTGAAATAAAGGATATTCTGCTCAAGGTGTCCGACTCTTGAATTCAGCTGCACAAACACAGCCCACAGCGCTCAGGGGAGCTGTTACCTGTGAATATGTGCTGCACGTAACCAGGGTTCTTCTCAGCAAAGGTTTTCTTGGCCTCCTTCATCTTCTCAGCCTTGTTCTCCTTCTCAAAAGGCGTGTACAGAACAGCAAAAGAGACTTCTTCGCGGACGGCTTCTTGAATCATAGCCTAAAAAAGGGCAGAGAAATGAGAAATTACACATTTCATTTGGGTAGGGTTAGTTAAAAAAAGAAAAACACAAAAACCAAAAAAAAAACTAGGTGGTTTGGAAGGATCCTCCATGAACCTCCACCTTCAAGGAGGGGACAGAAACAAGAGAAATTTTTTCAGATGGAGGGAAAAAAGCGATTCCGCGCTCTCCAAAAGTCACATCAGGAAGATTTAGGAAAATATTCCTTCGTCAGCCACACCCAGAGTTGTTGTGTCAGGGGAGGTTTGGGTTGGATATTGGGGACAGGATTTATTAAAAAAATACGGATATTGATCCGGTATCGATATCCAGCTGTGAGGGACAAAAACTCTCTAACAATTTAAAGTTAGAAAGTTTGTGTTTATTGTGTTTATTGTGTGTGGGATGGCTCCCAAATCCACACCGCAGCTTCCAGGTGATTACAGAGTCTTTTTATCCATACAAGTATTGAATACACAAAATAAAAATATATATTCATAATTTTGGTACATCCCATTCCTCGCTTCGTATGCTAATCACTCCAAAAGCAATTAAACATGTGTAATTTGTCCCTTGAAATGGGTCGGTGTCCCTTTCATGGGGAGGGCTCCCAAAATGAGGAAATAAATGAAGTTTTTTCCTCATTCTGACCTTTCTACTTCTCAATGCAAACATGACAAATGAACTCTTGGTAGAACGCCCATTCCTTGTCTTCAGTTGGTTTCAGAACAGAGGAGGCCCAAAATTGTCTCATGGTCCTAAAATCTATTTATCAGTTTTTATATTCTTCATTATAAACCCAGCTAACCAAACATTGTGCTGAGGCTGAATTATTGTTGCACACCCAGGGCCGATCCCCGGGCTCGGCTCTGTTCTTTCCTTGTGGCTGGCTAGATAGAATCTGACTGCAAAATAAATATTTTATTTTTTCATTTTAAATTTGGCCGGACAAATTTTCATTTATAACAATCTCATGGAAATCCTCGGGCAGATCCATGTGAATGCAGCGTTCCCGTAAATTCCATCGAGGGATTCACCAACTCCTGACATTAAATTGTTCTTCCTCATCACAAGAAAATCTTATTAATTATGGACTCTGAATAGAAGAAAGGACTGATTGCTGAAATCTTGGCTTCAAGTGGAATTTTCCCTATAAAAACCGAATTTTCCATATAAAAACCCCTTATAAAAAGGATGGAGGTGTGTGGGCATAGAGGAAACCTCTGCTGAGGCTGAATTCTTGTTGCACACCCAGGGCTCTGTTCTTTCCTTGTGGCTGGCTAGATAAAATTGGATTACAAATAAATATTTTATTTTTTTATATTAATTTGTCTGGACAAATTTTCATTTATAACAAAAACCTCTGCTGGGGCTGAATTCTTGTTGCACGCCCAGGGCCGATCCCCGGGCTTGGCTCTGTTCTTTCCTTGTGGCTGGCTAGATAGAATTGGATTGCCAAAATAAATATTTTATTTTTTTATATTAATTTGGCCAGACAAATTTTCATTTCTAACAAAAACCTCTGCTGAGGCTGAATTCTTGTTGCACACCCAGGGCTCTGTTCTTTCCTTGTGGCTGGCTAGATAGAACCAAATTCCAAAATAAATATTTTATTTTTTTCATTTTAAATTTGGCCAGACAAATTTTCATTTATAACAAAAATCTCTTGTTGCACGCCCAGGGCCGATCCCCGGGCTCGGCTCTGTTCTTTCCTTGTGGCTGGCTAGATGGAATCGGATTCCAAAATAAATATTTTATTTTTTTATATTAATTTGTCTGGAAAAATTTTCATTTATAACAATCTCATGGAAATCCTCGGGCAGATCCATGTGAATGCAGCGTTCAGTAAATTCCATCGAGGGATTCACCAACTCCTGACATTAAATTGTTCTTCCTCATCACCAGAAAATCTTATTAATTATGGACTCTGAATGGAAGAAAGGACTGATTGCTGAAATCTTGGCCTCAGGTGGAATTTTCCCTATAAAAACTGAATTTTCCCTATAAAAACTGCTTATAAAAAGGATGGAGGTGTGTGGGCATAGAGGAAACCTCTGCTGAGGCTGAATTCTTGTTGCACACCCAGGGCTCTGTTCTTTCCTTGTGGCTGGCTAGATGGAATTTGATTACAAATAAATATTTTATTTTTTCATATTAATTTGACTGGACAAATTTTCATTTCTAACAAAAACCTCTTGTTGCACGCCCAGGGCCGATCCCCGGGCTCGGTTCTGTTCTTTCCTTGTGGCTGGCTAGATGGAATTTGATTACAAATAAACATTTTATTTTTTTATATTATTTTATCCGGACAAATTTTAATTTCTATCATCCAGGAGCTGACCCCAGCCCTGCCCGGGGTCCCGCCCAGCCCCAGGTGAGGCTCCTCCCCGGGGACACGCCCTTACCTGCCAGTAGAGCTGGAGCAGGTCGCTGGTGCGCGGCCGCGCGGCGTCGCTCAGCACGTACAGAAAATGCGCCACCATGGCGCTCCTGCGGACAGAGCGACACTGGAGCGGTTCTGGATCCATCAGATCCCCCCAAAAAGGTCCCACAGAACCCCCAGTCTGTGGCTCCCAGTCAAAAACACAAACTGGGAGTTTCCAGCCAGGCAGAAGGTGGGAAAGAGTTGGAGAATAATGCAAATAATTCTTTATCTCTCTTGTGTTCACACTGTTTATAGTTAAATTCTATCACTGTGCACCAGTGCAGTGAGGTGTTTTCACTTCAGTTGGTCCTCACCAAGCTCTGTATAAAAGAGCAGGGTGTGTTTTAAATAAATCAGAGTTTTACTCTCTCAGACTTCTGAATCAGAGTCTTCTCATTCCCATCCTGCCTCAATAGCAACACCAGTCCTTGTTCGACTTTTAGACAACACATTTGGAACTCCCTGTGTTGGAAATACCCCGGATGTCATTTTGGGCCACAATTGGGATTATTCACATTACAGACAACTTTTAGACCAGCATCAGCGAACACATTTTGAACTCCCTGAAATTCCTGCCAGCAAATAGCCCTGGATGTAATTTTGGGGCCACAATTGGGATTATTCACATTACAGACAACTTTTAGACCAGCATCAGCGAACACATTTTGAACTCCTTGTGTTGGAAATAGCCCTGGATGTCATTTTGGAGCCACAATTGGGATTATTCACATTACAGACAACTTTTAGACCAGCATCAGTGAACACATTTGGAACTCCCTGCCAGGAAATACCACTGCTTGTCATTTTGGGGCCACAATTGGGATTATTCACCTTACAGACAACTTTTAGACAACCATCAGCAAACACATTTCGAGCTCCCTGTGTTGGAATCTGTGGTATTGATGATTCCGAGATTGTATCTACCACAAACTACCTGTGCTATATTTACAATAATGTGCCAATGTAACACCCCTCAGTGGGGTGTTACAAACATTAAATACCACAAACTACCTGTGCTGTATTTACAATATAAATTGTAAATTTATTTTAAATTGTAACGTCCCTCAGTGGGATGTTACAAACATTAAATACCACAAACTATGTGTGCTATATTTACAATATAAATTGTAAATTTATTTTAAATTGTTACACCCCTCAGTGGGATGTTACAAACATTAAACACCACAAACTACGTGTGCTATATTTACAATATAAATTGTAAATTTATTTTAAATTGTAACATCCCTCAGTGGGATGGTACAAACATTAAATACCACAAACTACCTGTGCTGGATTTACAATAACGTGCCAATATCTGTCACCTACGTTGAACAGTGTGTCCCCAGCCTGAACCAACAGAAAAATGCCAACACCACAGTGAAACATGGAGGGCATGAAGAAGGAGGAAAAGGACAAGGCACACCCAATTTCCTCCATCTTGTCCCCTTTGGATCCTTAATCTAGAATCCTAAAATTTTACTTTTGCACCCATGCCACACTTAGTTATTACTGATATGGCATGGATTTGGGCACAGGCTGGTCCTGGAGGATGTGCCAGGCTGGGGGCTGCAGGGAAGGGGCGCAGAGGGCCCGAGCAGCGGCAGTACCTGGCAGCCTCGGGGTACCTGCGCAGGCGCCGGAAGCACGCAGCCTGGCGCAGGTGGTTGCAGAAGTGAGACGGGTTCTGGGCGATGCTCCTTGGGGAGAGAAGAGGCATGGACAAGGTTAGGCTGGGGTTCCTTACATCCCTAAATCCCCTAAAAATTAAGCTGTGACTGAGCAGATGCCACGTGCCCTTCTGCTCTATATCTCAAATATATATATTTAATATATTGCCACATCTCAAATGTCAGGTGAGCTCTGCCTCTGCTTCCCTCTCCCTCTCTCCAGCTCTGATCAATGAAAATTTCTAGCTGTGATTGCTAAAAATATTCCTTAAGGGCTCGTTTCAACGTGGTTTTATATCCTAAATGCAATTTCCTTAGGGGGTTTTGTGTGTTGCTCTAGGAAAAAATGCTCCAGGGGTAATATTCTGTTTTTCCTTTGGCACGTGGGTATCCTAAACAAAAAATGCTGCAGCAGAAGCTCTTGTGAACCCCCTCAGCTGCCCAAAAAGGAGCAGCAGGCGCCCGGCCCATCCCCCTGTGTGCCTGAAATGTGCCAAAAGGTGAACCTGAAATATTCTGAAATTCCCTCTGCACAAGGCAAAGCCTGCCCTGTGTGCCAGATGTGATTAACCCCATCCAAACCCTCATTTCCACGTGTTGAGCTGCGTCCTCCTGATTTTTTTATCACTATTAGACTGGATCTTCCTGCACAGAATTTTAGCATTTTTCCCCGTGTTTCACGTTAATTTTGGGTGTGAGCAGCGAACCCCAGCCGTGTTTTCCTCCTACCTGTGGGAGTGAAGCAGAGCCAGGCCAGGCTGCCCCAGCTTTAAGTAGCAGACCACGAGTTTTGGCTGGATCCAGCTGCTGAGCCTGGAAATCTCATCCCGAGAGGATCTCGAGGGATCCTCGGCAGCGAAACCTCTGCTGCAAAGCTGCACGTGAAACAAAACCATAAATTCCAAATATTAGGATGCACCATTCGCTGGGTGGGAGCACATTTTGGGACTAATCAGTGGAGAAAACGGTCTAACAAGCACTGGTTTTAACTAAAATCAAAAAACAGTTTTTTTACAAAACCAGCGCAGAGGACAGAGTGGTTTTTCAGGGATGTTTTGGGGTTTTTTTTTGGTTTCTGATAGTGGATTTAGAGGCTGCTGAGGACCACCAGCCCTACAACTCTGTCTGCAATCCCAGGGATTAATTCCCTCATCCCTTTTCCTGGTATCTCCATTCTCCAGCCTTCCCCCTCAGGAGGAGACAAATCCTCCTTTTTTTTAAGCACCCCGAGGTGCTGTTCCTACCACAGCTCATTTCAGAATACAGGGGCAAAAAAACACTTTAAAAGGGTGGAACTTTATCATTTTATTCACTGATTGCTGTATTTTATTACTTAAAAAATTACGTCAGCATTGTAGGAAAAAAAAAAAGGAATAGGATATTTGCTGGTGAACCAGAAAACCCTAATATTTGATAATTTGAATGAAATATGGCAGAACAGTGCTAAAAAAAATCCCTTTCTCAGAGTTTGGAGTGCCTGGCTGAAGGTGTTGGAGTGAGAGTGGAGAGAATCAGCTGAGGCAGAGTAAAAATTCCCCAATTATTGAGGCCATTTGTTGCTGATAGAGTTAAAATTAAAGAGAGGAACATTTTTTTTCACTCTATGGGACTTCAATTTCCTCCACACATTAATACAGTTAAAAACTTGGAGAAAAGTACAAAATTACCTGGAATTCTTTGGTTCAGCCCAACACTTTCCCCCCTTCTGTGGTTCATTTACAACTCCCAATTTTCAGATTTTGGGCAAAATCCCATCTCAGGATTTCTCTCTGACCCCAGGCATGCCAGCTTGGTGCTTATTTACCATTTCAATGGCTTATTTACAACTTCTGTGGCTTATTTACAACTTCTGTGCCTTATTTACAACTCCAAATTTTCAGATTTTGGCCAAAATCCCATCTCAGGATTTCTCCCTGACCCCAGCCATGCCACCTTGGTCCCTATTCACAATTCCACTCCCACCCCTGTGGTGTCACCCCCCGTTGGCCCCGTTACCTCCAGGGCCGTGGAGAACTTTGCGGCGGCGGCGGCGAAATCCCGTTGGTGCCACCGGGCGCTGCCGTCCCTCAGCGCCGCCCGCAGCCCCGCGGGCACGCGGTGCCACCCGCTGTCCCCCGGGCCCTGGGCGGGGCGCTGGGACGCTGCTGGTGGCACTGCTGGTGGCATTGGTGGTGGCATTGGTGGTGGCACTGATGGTGGCATCATTGGTGGCATTGATGGTGGCATCGATGGTGGCATTGATGGTGGCATTGATGGTGGCATTGATGGTGGCATTGATGGTGGTGCCATTGGTGGCATTGATGGTGGCATTGATGGTGGCATTGATGGTGGCATTGATGGTGGTGCCATTGGTGGCATTGATGGTGGCATTGGTGGTGGCATTGATGGTGGTGCCATTGGTGGCATTGATGGTGGCATTGATGGTGGCATTGATGGTGGCATCGATGGTGGCATTGATGGTGGTGCCGATGGTGGCATTGATGGTGGCATCATTGGTGGCATTGATGGTGGCATTGATGGTGGCATCATTGGTGGCATTGATGGTGGCACTGATGGTGGCATTGATGGTGGCATTGATGGTGGCATTGATGGTGGCATTGGTGGCATTGATGGTGGTGCCATTGGTGGCATTGATGGTGACATTGATGGTGCCATCGCTGATGGTGCTGATGGTGGCATCACAGGTGGCCTTGCTGATGGCATCGCTGATGGCGCCACTGACGACATTGATGATGGCATCACTGGTGTCATTGATGGTGCCATTGATGGTGAAACCACCGATGGCATCACCGGTGGCACCGCCAGCGTCACCGCGGGCACCGCCGGCTCACCGCACTCGAACTCGGTGTCCACCTCATCGGCGCAGATCAGCTCCTCTTCCATCTCCAACAGCCGGGCCAGGGGGACGTGGACAGGCGGGTTTGGGAACGGCCCCGTCCCGCTCGGTCCCGTCCCGCTCGGTCCCGTCCCGCTCCCGGACACGTCCCCGAGGATTTCCACCCTGGACACGTCCCCGAGGATTTCTGTCCCGGACACGTCCCCGAGGATTTCTGTCCCGGACACGTCCCCGAGGATTTCCGACCCGGACACATCCTTGAGGATTTCTGCCCCGTCCGTGTCGCTCCGGGGCCGTTTTCGCCGCTCCTTCGCCCCTCGCGACGCCTGCGAGACAGGGGAGAATTGGGGGTTAAAGGAAATTTGGAGAATCCCAAATCAACGGGCAATATGCTCAAATTAGTTGCATTCCATTCTTTTAATTTCCATTTCTGACATTGGTTTACCCTGGATTTTAGCCCCAAACAAGATGACATTGAGAGGAAATATGTTAAAATTAGTTGCCTTCCATTCTTTTAAATTTACTGGATACATTGGGATAAATAGCTTTGGAACACATGATTAAATTAAATTGAATGGAGAAAACAAAACAGAATTAAATAAAATGCAAATATTTGGTGAAAAAAAAAGTCATTTCGTGGTTTGGAGTGGGGATCCAATGTTCTTTTAATTTCCATTTCTGACAATGGTTTACCCTGGATTTTAGCCCAAAATAAGATTACATCAAGGGGAAATGCTTTAAAATTAGTTGCCTTCCATTCTTTTAATTTCCATTTCTGACATTGGTTTACCCTGGATTTTAACACCAAATAAGATTACATCAAAGAGAAATATATTAAAATTAGTTGCCTTCCATTCTTTTAACTTTTTAACCTATTTATTGGGATAAATAGCTTTGGAACACATGATTAAATTAAATTGAATGGAGAAAACAAAACAGAATTAAATAAAATGCAGGTATTTGGGGAAAAAAAAATGCAATTTCATGGTTTGGAGTGGAGATCTAATGTTCTTTTAATTTCCATTTCTGACATTGGTTTACCCTGGATTTTAACACCAAATAAGGTGACACAAAGGGGCAATATGTTAAAATTAGTTGCCTTCCATTCTTTTAATTTCCATTTCTGACAATGGTTTACCATGGATTTTAGCCCTAAATAAGATGACATCAAGGGGCAATATGTTAAAATTAGTTGCCTTCCATTCTTTTAAATTTACTGGATACATTGGGATAAACAGCTTTAGAACACATGATTAAATTAAATTGCATGGAGAAAAGAAAACAGAATTAAATAAATGCAGGTATCCAGGAAAAAAATGAATTTTCACGGTTTGGAGTGGAGATCCAATGTTCTTTTAATTTCCATTTCTGACATTGGTTTACCCTGGATTTTAGCCCCAAACAAGATGACATTGAGAGGAAATATGTTAAAATTAGTTGCCTTCCATTCTTTTAACTTTTAAAATTATTTATTGGGATAAATAGCATTGGAACACATGATTGAATTAAATTGCATGGAGAAAAGAAAACAGAATTAAATAAAATGCAGGTATTTGGGAAAAAAAAAAGTCATTTCATGGTTTGGAGGGGAGATCCAATGTTCTTTTAATTTCCATTTCTGACAATGGTTTACTGTGGATTTTAACACCAAATAAGATTACATCAAGGGGAAATGCTTTAAAATTAGTTGCCTTCCATTCTTTTAACTTTTAAAATTATTTATTGGGATAAATAGCATTGGAACACATGATTAAATTAAATTGAATGGAGAAAACAAAACAGAATTAAATAAAATGCAGGTATCTGGGAAAAAAATGAATTTTCACGGTTTGGAGTGGAGATCCAATGTTCTTTTAATTTCCATTTCTGACATTGGTTTACCCTGGATTTTAGCCCCAAATAAGATTAAATCAAGGGGCAATATGTTAAAATTAGTTGCCTTCCATTCTTTTAACTTTTAAAATTATTTATTGGGATAAATAGCTTTGGAACACGTGATTAAATTGCATCAAATGGAGGAATGAAAACAGAATTAAATAAAATGCAGGTATTTGGGAAAAAAAATGAATTTTCACGGTTTGGAGTAGGGATTTAATGTTCCTTCTGTGCTTTATCCTGCTAAGAGGAGGGCAGGTGTTCAAACCTGAGGTGCCTCTTCTGATCCCAAAAAGAATTTGGGATTTGGTTCATGGAGAACCAATTTCAGAATCTGATTAAATCTGTTTCTACTCTGAATTTAATTTAAAATTAAAATTAAAATCAGCTTCCTGTTCTGTTTGTTATGGAGAACCAATTTCAGAATCTGCTTAAACAATTGAAATCTGTTTCTACTCTGAGCACATTGCTTGTGCTTAGGACACGTATTCCTGTGATTAAAATGTTTTTAAAATTAAAAAACACCATCAGGGATCAACTCCCTGTTTTATTTGCTCATGGAGAACCAATTTCAGAATCTGATTAAATCAGTTTCTACTCTGAATTTAATTTTATTAAATCTGTTTCTACTCTGAATTTCTGAATTTAATTTAAAATTAAAATTAAATCAGCTTCCTGTTCTATTTGTTCATGGAGAACAAATTTCAGAATCTGCTTAAACAATTGAAATCTGTTTCTACTCTGAGCTCATTGCTTGTGCTTGTATTTCTGTGATTAAAATGAAATTAAACAATATCATCAGGGATCAGCTTCCTGTTCTGTTTGTTATGGAGAACCAATTTCAGAATCTGATTAAAAATTTAAATCTGTTTCTACTTTGAGCTCATTGCTTCTTTTTGTATTTCTGTGATTAAAATGAAATTAAACAATATCATCAGAAATCAGCTTCCTATTTTATTTGTTCATTGAGAACCAATTTCAGAATCTGATTAAATCTGTTTCTACTCTGAATTTAATTTGACTAAATCTGTTTCTACTCTGAATTTAATTTAAAATTAAAATTAAAATCAGCTTCCTGTTCTGTTTGTTATAGAGAACCAATTTCAGAATGTGATTCAATCTGTTTTTACTTTGAGCTCATTGCTTGTGCTTGTATTCCTGTGATTAAAATGAAATTAAAAAATACCATCAGAAATCAGCTTCCTGTTTTATTTGTTCATGGAGAACCAATTTCAGAATCTGCTTAAACCTGTTTCTACTCTGAGCTCATTGCTTGTGCTTAGGACATGTATTTCTGTGATTAAAATGTTTTTAAAATTAAAAAACACCATCAGGGATCAACTCCCTGTTTTATTTGCTCATGGAGAACCAATTTCAGAATCTGATTAAACAATTGAAATCTGTTTCTACTTTGAGCTCATTGCTTGTTTTTGTATTTCTGTGATTAAAATGAAATTAAACAATATCATCAGAAATCAGCTTCCTATTTTATTTGTTCATTGAGAACCAATTTCAGAATCTGATTAAATCTGTTTCTACTCTGAATTTAATTTGACTAAATCTGTTTCTACTCTGAATTTAATTTAAAATTAAAATTAAAATCAGCTTTCTGTTCTATTTGTTCATGGAGAACCAATTTCAGAATCTGCTTAAACAATTGAAATCTGTTTCTACTCTGAGCTCATTGTTTGGTTTTGTATTTCTGTGATTAAAATGAAATTAAACAATACCATCAGAAATCAGCTTCCTGTTTTATTTGTTCATGGAGAACCAATTTCAGAATCTGCTTAAATCTGTTTCTACTCTGAGCTCATTTCTTGTGCTTGTATTTCTGTGATTAAAATGTTTTTAAAATTAAAAAACACCACCAGAAATCAGCTTCCTGTTCTATTTGTTCATGGAGAAAAAAATTCAGAATCTGATTAAATGTATGAAATCTGTTTCTACTTTGAGCTCATTGCTTGTGCTTAGGATATGTATTCCTGTGATTAAAATGTTTTTAAAATTAAAAAACACCACCAGAAATCAACTCCCTGCTCTATTTGTTCACGTTCACCTCCACAGCCATTGATAAACCGATGGAGTGGAGGAGAAAAGTCAATTTTGGGGTAAAACGGGGATGCAGAAATTTGGCAGAGAACTGAATCCCGCTCAGGGACACACAGGAGGAGCTTCTCTTCCCTTTGGGAATTCCCATCCCAAAATCCATCTTCCCATTCCCAAAATCTGTACTCACCCCGGGGGCTGCTGAGGGCGGCTCCTGCTGAGGAAACATCTGGGCAGGGAACATCTGGGCAGGAAACATCTGGGCAGGGAACATCTGGGCAGGGAACATCTGGGATCCCCCTGAGGGCGGCTCCTGCTGAGGAAACATCTGGGCAGGGAACATCTGGCTCAGTCCAAGCTCCTGGAGCACCTGGAAGGACACAGGGATGAGCACACTCAGCTTTGTTGCTCCTCAATTGTTGGAATTTTGGGTTTTTGATGATTTTGAGGTTGTAGAAATTCTCTGTTTTTCTGCCCCGTTGCTAAAGAAGAAATTGTGATTTTTTTGTGTTGGTTTTTAAGGTTGTTTATTTTTGTTTATTTATAACAAGTTTTGCTGCTCTGCCACAGGTCTGTCCTGTGTGGGGCTCTGCCCTCAGTGGGATGGTACAAACATTAAATACCAGAAACTACCTGTGCTGGATTTACAATATAAATTGTAAATTTATTTTAAATTGTAGCATCCCTCAGTGGGATGTTACAAACATTAAATACCACAAATTACCTGTGCTGGATTTACAATAACGTGCCAACGTAACACTCCTCAGTGGAATGTTAGAAATATTAAATACCAGAAATTACCTGTGCTGGATTTACACTAACGTGTTAAAATCTATAATTTACGTTAAACCAACAGAAAAACACCACAGTGAAACATGGAGGGCGTGAAGAAGGAGAAAAAGGACAAAACACACCCAATTTCCTCCATCTTGTCCCCTTTGGATCCTTAATCTAAAATCCTAAAATTTTAATTTTGTACCTGTGCCACACTTAATTATTAATTATATCAAGCACTCAGAGGTTGTAATTAATGCTGTGAGATTGAAAACTCCTCTCCATGGGCAGAGATCCCAGCCAGAGTCTCTGGGGGCTCTGTCCAGGGGGGTCCCAGAGGGATTTTTGGGATTCCCAAACTGGGAGTGGGACTGGGAGAACCCCCCGGGGTGTCTGTGCAGCGCTGTGGGGCTGGGCTGCACCCATGGGTGCTGGGGATGTGGGGAGAAGCCGCTCCCACCCATCCACGGCAGGAGATGTGGGTGCCCTGGCAGTGCCCATCCCACCCGAGCTGCCCCAAACTCCAGAACACCCCCAGGGATGTCCCCAAAAACGAAACCACCCCAAAAAGGCCCCCTGGACCCCCCAAACCCCCGGGTGCCCCTTCCCCACTCACCTGCAGAGGCTCCACTGGTCGTTCTGGCAGTTGATGGTTCCAGTTCCGCATCCTGGCAGTTGGAAATGCGCCCCCAAACCCTCCCCACCCCCAAACTGCCCCGGGCAGCGCGGGCACTGATCCTGGCACGGCTGGGGATGGCTCTGGCACGGCTGGGGATGGATCCTGGCACGGCTGGGATGGATCTGGCACGGCTGGGATGGCTCTGGCACGGCTGGGGATGGATCTGGCACGGCTGGGATGGATCCTGGCACGGCTGGGGATGGATCTGGCACGGCTGGGGATGGATCTGGCACGGCTGGGGATGGATCTGGCACGGCTGGGCACCGATCCTGGCACGGCTGGGATGGATCTGGCACGGCTGGGATGGATCTGGCACGGCTGGGGATGGCTCTGGCACGGCTGGGGATGGATCTGGCACGGCTGGGATGGATCTGGCACGGCTGGGATGGCTCTGGCACGGCTGGGATGGATCCTGGCACGGCTGGGGATGGATCTGGCACGGCTGGGGATGGATCTGGCACGGCTGGGATGGATCTGGCACGGCTGGGGATGGATCTGGCACGGCTGGGGATGGATCCTGGCACGGCTGGGATGGCTCTGGCACGGCTGGGATGGATCCTGGCACGGCTGGGGATGGATCTGGCACGGCTGGGGATGGATCTGGCACGGCTGGGGATGGATCCTGGCACGGCTGGGATGGATCCTGGCACGGCTGGGATGGATCTGGCACGGCTGGGATGGATCCTGGCACGGCTGGGGATGGATCTGGCACGGCTGGGATGGATCCTGGCACGGCTGGGATGGATCCTGGCACGGCTGGGGATGGCTCTGGCACGGCTGGGATGGATCTGGCACGGCTGGGATGGATCCTGGCATGGCTGGGGATGGCGCTATCTCCTGTAGGGTACATCAGGGGTTAAATGCTTATAGATTTCCCAATTCCTACATTAAATTGTGTTTTTCTATCTCCTATATGGTCCATCATGTGTTAAATGTTTTCAGATTTCCCCAATTCCTATACTAAATACCATTTTTCTATCTTTTATACAGTCCATTACCTGTTAAATGTTTATAGTTTTCCCAATACCTATATTAAATGGTGTTTTTCTATCTTTTATATGATACATCAGGTGTTAAATGCTTATAGATTTCCCCAATTCCTATATTAAATGGCGGTTTTCTATGTTTTATATGGTACATTACGTGCTGAATGTTTATAGTTTTCCCCAATACCGACATTAATTGGTCCCTTTCTATCTTTTATATGGTCCATTACCTGTTAAATGTTTATAGATTTCCCCAATTCCCATATTAAAAGGTCCCTTTCTATCTTTTATATTATTCATCACGTGTTAAATGTTTAATTTTTCCCCAATATCTATATTAAATGGTGTTTTTCTATGTTTTATATGGTCCATTACCTGTAAAATGTTTATAGATTTCCCCAATTCCTACATTAAATGGTGCTTTTCTATCTTTTATATGATACATTATGTGTTAAATGCTTATAGATTTCCCCAATACCGACATTAATTGGTGGTTTTTCTATCTTTTATATGTTCCATTACGTGTTAAATGTTTATAGATTTCCCCAATTCCTATATTAAATGGTGTTTTTCTATATTTTATATGTTCCATGATGTGTTAAATGTTTATATTTTTCCCCAATACCTATATTAAATTTTTTTTTCTATCTTTTATATGTTCCATTACGTGTTAAATGTTTAATTTTTCCCCCAATTCCTATATTAAATGGCGTTTTTCTATGTTTTATAAGGTCCATTATGTGTTAAATGTTTTATTTTTCCCGAATGCTGACATTAAATGGTGTTTTTGTATTTTTTATCAGGTCCATTACATGTTAAATGTTTATAGTTTCCCCCAATTCCTATATTAAATACCATTTTTCTATGTTTTATATGGTCCATTACGTGTTAAATGTTTAGTTTTTCCCCAATATCTATATTAAATACCATTTTTCTATCTTTTATACAGTCCATTACCTGTTAAATGTTTAATTTTTCCCCAATTCCTATATTAAATGGTGTTTTTCTATCTTTTATATTATACATCACGTGTTAAATGCTTATAGATTTCCCCAATTCCTATATTAAATACCATTTTTCTATGTTTTATATGGTCCATAATGTGTTAAATGCTTATATTTTCCCCCAATTCCTACATTAAATGGCATTTTTCTATCTTTTGTATGTTCCATTACATTTTAAATGTTTAATTTTTCCCCCAATACCTATATTAAATGGTTTTTTTCTATCTTTTATATGTTCCATTACGTGTTAAATATTTACAGTTTTCCCCCAATTCCTGTTACCTGTATTAAATTGCACCTTAAATATATATATATTTTTTTAATTTTCACGTAAAAGGGGGTTTCAATGTGTTATTTCTGCATTTATTACAGGCAAGTAAATAATTTTATTTATGCCTTACCTTCAATCCTGAAAATATCTGATTTTAGTGAAAGCCAATTCTAAATGCAACTTAAAGCTGAAATAAATTAAAAGGTGAAATAAATCAAAATCATCTTTATTCCCAACAAGACTAAAATGGGTCCTTGGCGCAATCTGCCTTAAAAAATTTTAGAAATTAAAATTTGTCCGGCCAAATTAATATAAAAAAATAAAATATTTATTTTGCAATTGTGAAAAATGCGTATTTTACAATCGGCTTTTCGCAGATGTCACAATAAATATGATATGTGTAATGTTATAAAGTTATGCTGCATTAATTCTCTTAAATAGAGTTTTAGGTTCTAACATAATATTAAAATAGAGATTATATATGTGGGGAAGTTTTTATTTTTAGGAATGAAATATTCACTTTGAGGAGCACCTAAATCTTCCAAAATCGAGGAATTTAAGGATTTTTACCAAAATAAATTAATTTTTTCAGGCCTTGCTCAGACTGGAAGGGGATTAAAGGAAACAGCTGAGGTACAACAGACAGAATTTATTATTTTAAACACAATTTATGCATAAACATAAAGGATATATGAATATTCAACGAGTGTTTTATTTTAAGGTAATTCTTTCGTTCACAAATTGTGCTTTTCCTGACTTTATATCCGTAATTCTTTGTTTTTTATTGCAAAAACTTCTAAACTTTATCACTCTAATTGCATTATTATTATTTTTTTTTACAACCATTTTATTATTATTAAACTTTTAAATTTCTTCAGCAGCGATTTGGGCACTTTTAGGGGGAAGCCCTGTGAAAAAAATGTTGATTATTTGGGGTTTTCAAAAATCCTAAAAAGTAAAGGGAAGAATTTTTGAGTGCTGAACACGGGATTTTGGTTTTGTACATTGGGGTCAGAGGTTTTAAATGGATTTAATTGGGTTAGAGTAGAAAAGAACAATTTAATATAGGTAGTAGGCATTGGGAAAAAATGTAAATATTTAATATGTAATGTATAATATAAAAGATAGAAAAGAACAATTTAATATAGGTAATGGGCATTGGGGAAAAATGTAAATATTTAATATGTAATGTATAATATAAAAGATAGAAAAGAACAATTTAATATAGGTAATAACAATGGGGAAAAATGTAAATATTTAATATGTAATGTACCATATAAAAGATAGAAAAGAACAATTTAATATTGGTAATAGGTATTGGGGGAAAATGTAAATATTTAATATGTAATGTACCAAAAGATAACAGCAGCCCTGGGCAGGGAGAGAAGGAGAAGAAGAAGAAGAAGAAGAAGAAGAAGAAGAAGAAGATGGAGAAGGAGGTGAAGGAGGAGAAGGAGAAGGAGGAGAAGAAGTAGAAGAAGGAGAAGGAGAAGGAGAAGAAGGAGAAGATGGAGAAGATGGAGAAGGAGGTGAAGGAGGAGAAGAAGGAGAAGGAGAAGAAAGAGAAGGAGAAGAAGGAGAAGATGGAGAAGATGGAGAAGGAGAAGAAAGAGAAGGAGAAGGAGAAGGAGAAGGAGAAGGAGAAGGAGAAGGAGAAGGAGAAGGAGAAGGAGAAGGAGAAGGAGAAGGAGAAGGAGAAGGAGAAGGAGAAGGAGAAGGAGAAGGAGAAGGAGAAGGAGAAGGAGAAGGAGAAGGAGAAGGAGAAGGAGAAGGAGAAGGAGAAGGAGGAGAAGGAGGAGAAGGAGAAGGAGACAAAGACAAAGAAGAAGAAGAAGATGAAGAAGACAAAGAAGACGAAGAAGAAGAACAAGACGAAGAACAAGACGAAGAAGAAGACAAAGAAGAACAACAAGAAGACAAAGAAGAAGAAGAAGAAGAACAAGAAGAAGAACAGAAGGACTCAGTGAGGATGTCAGGGTGTGCGTGTGCCTCTGCCTGAGCTGTGACCAAACCACAGCAGCCCCAGAAGAAAAGATTTATACAACTTCCAACAAACAACCACGAGCCCGAACCGCAGAGCCTTTCTTCGGAAGCTCGGCTCGGAGGAGAAGTCTTTCCACCACACGGAGCCACCCCGTGACACCGCAGCACTTCCCTCACCGGTGTCTCCACTGGTGCTGGTTCAGGACTGAGCTGGTCCTGAAGCTCTTCCCGCACTGGGGACATTTGTAGGGCCGTTCCCCGGTGTGGACACGGCGGTGGCGGGTCAGGTGGGAGCTGTGCTTGAAGCCCCTCCCGCAGTGGGGACAGCGGAACGGTTTCTCCTCCGTGTGGGTCCTCTGGTGCACCAGGAGCAGGGAGCTGGTCTGGAAGCTCTTCCCGCACTCGGGGCACTCGAAGGGCCGCTCCCCGCTGTGGATGCGCCGGTGGGACGTCAGGTGGGAGCTGCGGGTGAAGCTCTGGCCGCACTCCCAGCACTCGAAGGGCCGTTCCCCGGTGTGGACGCGGTGGTGGGCCGTGAGCTGGGGGCTGTCCCTGAAGCCCTTCCCGCACTCGGGGCACTCGAAGGGTTTCTCCCCCGTGTGGATCATCTGGTGGCGGAGCAGGCGGGACCTCCACGTGAAGCTCTTCCCGCAGTCCGAGCACTTGTGGGGCTTCTCCTCATCGTGGAGCTCCTCAAGGACCTCCAAATCCAAACTCTGGCTGGATTTCTGCTCATCTCCCCAGCCCAGGGTGGGTCTTTCCTCCTCAGAGCACCCTGGGCTGGGTTTCCAACCCCTCCTCATCTGGGATCTCCACGGATTGTCCTCCCCGTTGGGTTCCTGTGCCGTGGAGGAATCATCCTCTTCCACGAAGTTCTGACACAGGAATTTGTCCTCCGTGTTCTCCACCCTCAGCTCCTGCCCTGGGGAGCACTTGTGGGGCTTCTCCTCATCGTGGAGCTGATCAGGGACCACAAACTCCAAATTCTGGGTGGATTTCTGCCCACCTTCCTGGCCCAGGGTGGGACTTTCCTCCTCAGAGCACCCTGGGTTGGGTTTCCAACCCCTGCTCATGTGGGATCTCCATGGATTTTCCTCCCCGTCGGATTCCTGAGCCATGGAGTTACTCAAATCGGCCTCTTCCAGGAGGTTCTGACCCAGGGATTTGTCCTCCCTGTTCTCCATCCTCAGCTCCGGCTCTGGGGAGCACTTGTGGGGCTTCTCCTCATCGTGGAGCTCCTCAGGGACCAAATTCTCCAAATTCTGGCTGGATTTCTGTCCACCTGCCCATCCCAGGGTGGGTCTTTCCTCCTCAGAGCACCCTGGGTTGGGTTTCCAGCCCCTCCTCATGTGGGATCTCCATGGATTTTCCTCCCCGTTGGGTTCCTGTGCCATGGAATTACTCAAATTGTCCTTTTCCATGAAGTTCTGATGCAGGGATTTGTCCTCCGTGTTCTCCACCCTCAGCTCCGGCCCTGGGGAGCACTTGTGGGGCTTCTCCTCATCGTGGAGCTGCTCAGGAACCTCCAGCTCCAAATTCTGGATGGATTTCTGCCCACCTTCCCAGCACTGGGTGGGTCTTTCCTCCTCAGATCCCTGAGATATGAGTTTGCAGCCCCTCCTTGTGTGGGATCTCCATGGATTGTCCTCCCCGTCAGGTTCCTGCACCGTGGAATTACTCAAATTGTCCTTTTCCATGAGGTTCTGCCGTGGGGATTTGTCCTCCCTGTTCTCCATCCTCAGCTCCTGCCCTGGGGGAGGAAGGACAGAGAGAAGCTCTTCCTCTTCCTCCCGTTCTTCTCTGATTTGGGGTGTGGGGGATCCAAGGGGACCCTCCTGACCCCCATCTCTGGGGTCCCCACTCAGGGATTTTTGGGGATTTTTGGGGTTTTGGGGTCCCTCCTCCCCCTCTTCCCTGATTTGGGGTGCAGGGGCTTCAAGGGACCCCCCTGACCCCCAACTTTGGGGTCCCCACTCAGGGATGATCCCAGTCACTCCCAGTACGATCCCAGTATGATCCCAGTATGATCTCAGTCATTCCCAGTATGGCCCCAGTCACTCCCAGTATGATCCCAGTCACTCCCAGACCCTCCCAGTATGATCCCAGTCACTCCCAGTATGATCCCAGTCACTCCCAGTATGATCCCAGTCACTCCCAGTATGGCCCCAGTCACTCCCAGACCCTCCCAGTATGATCCCAGTCACTCCCAGTATGATCCCAGTCACTCCCAGTGCGATCCCAGTCACTCCCAGTACGATCCCAGTCACTCCCAGACCCTCCCAGTATGATCCCAGTCACTCCCAGTACGATCCCAGTCACTCCCAGTACGATCCCAGTCACTCCCAGTTCCTCCCAGTACGATCCCAGTCACTCCCAGTATGATCCCAGTCACTCCCAGTATGATCCCAGTCACTCCCAGTATGGCCCCAGTCACTCCCAGTACGATCCCAGTCACTCCCAGTATGATCCCAGTCACTCCCAGTCACTCCCAGTATGATCCCAGTCACTCCCAGTATGATCCCAGTCACTCCCAGTGTGATCCCAGTCACTCCCAGTATGATCCCAGTCACTCCCAGTTCCTCCCAGTACGATCCCAGTCACTCCCAGTATGATCCCAGTCACTCCCAGTCACTCCCAGTATGATCCCAGTCACTCCCAGTATGATCCCAGTCACTCCCAGTATGATCCCAGTCACTCCCAGTATGGCCCCAGTCACTCCCAGACCCTCCCAGTATGATCCCAGTCACTCCCAGTATGATCCCAGTCACTCCCAGTGCGATCCCAGTCACTCCCAGTACGATCCCAGTCACTCCCAGACCCTCCCAGTATGATCCCAGTCACTCCCAGTACGATCCCAGTCACTCCCAGTACGATCCCAGTCACTCCCAGTTCCTCCCAGTACGATCCCAGTCACTCCCAGTATGATCCCAGTCACTCCCAGTATGATCCCAGTCACTCCCAGTATGGCCCCAGTCACTCCCAGTACGATCCCAGTCACTCCCAGTATGATCCCAGTCACTCCCAGTCACTCCCAGTATGATCCCAGTCACTCCCAGTATGATCCCAGTCACTCCCAGTGTGATCCCAGTCACTCCCAGTATGATCCCAGTCACTCCCAGTTCCTCCCAGTACGATCCCAGTCACTCCCAGTATGATCCCAGTCACTCCCAGTCACTCCCAGTATGATCCCAGTCACTCCCAGTATGATCCCAGTCACTCCCAGTGTGATCCCAGTCACTCCCAGTATGATCCCAGTCACTCCCAGTATGATCCCAGTCACTCCCAGTATGATCCCAGTCACTCCCAGTATGATCCCAGTCACTCCCAGTATGATCCCAGTCATTTCCAGTATGATCCCAGTCACTCCCAGTATGATCCCAGTCATTTCCAGTATGATCCCAGTCACTCCCAGTACGATCCCAGTTGCCCCAGTACAGTCGAGGGTGTCGAGCACCTGCGGGGTGGGGGCGGCGGTCCCGGAGCCCCCCGACCCTGCCGGGCTCGGCTGCGGCTCCGCGGCCGCTCCGCCTCTTCCTCTTCCTCCTCTTCTTCCTCCTCCTCCTCCTGCTCTTCCTCCTCCCCCTCCTGCTCTTCCGCCTCCTCCTCCTCCTCCTCTTCCTCTTCTTCCTCCTCCTCCTCCTCTTCCTCCTCCGCCTCTTCCTCTTCTTCCTCCTCCTCCTCTTCCTCCTCCTCTTCCTCCTCCTCCTCTTCCGCCTCTTCCTCTTCCTCTTCCTCCTCCTCTTCCTCCTCTTCCTCCTCTTCCTCTTCCTCCTCCTCCCAGCCGCGGGGAGGATCACACTGGGACCATACTGGGATATACTGGGATATACTGGGGTCACACTGGGACCATACTGGGACCATACTGGGACCATACTGGGACCATACTGGGATCACACTGGGATCACACTGGGACCATACTGGGATCATACTGGGACACTACTGGGATCAAACTGGGATATACTGGGATCATACTGGGATATACTGGGATCACACTGGGACCATACTGGGATCATACTGGGATCATACTGGGATATACTGGGATGTACTGGGACCATACTGGGATATACTGGGACCATACTGGGATCATACTGGGACCATACTGGGATATACTGGGACCATACTGGGATCATACTGGGACCATACTGGGACCATACTGGGATCACACTGGGATCACACTGGGAGCATACTGGGATATACTGGGATCACACTGGGACCATACTGGGATCAAACTGGGATATACTGGGATCAAACTGGGAGTGACTGGGATCATACTGGGATATACCGGGATCATACTGGGATCACAGTGGGATATAGTGGGACCATACTGGGACCATACTGGGATATACTGGGACCATACTGGGACCAGCGGGCCCCGCCCCTTTATGCAAACGACCACCCGCTGTTCCTGCATAACCCCGCCCCTTTATGCAAATAGCCACCCGCTGTTTAGTCGTAGCCACGCCCCTTTATGCAAACACACACCCGCCGTTCAGTCGTGGCCCCGCCCATCGCCGTTTCCCCGCCTCGCATCGTGATTGGCCGAACGCGCCGCTTTATTTGCATTCGCCCCGCCTCGTTCGCGATCGGTGATTCATTAGCATAGCCCCGCCCATCGTCGTTATTATGGTATGTTATGGGGCAGAGCCGCCCCATGGCACTTGTGGGGCAGAGCCCCTCACTTATGGGGCACAGACCTCACTTATGGGGCACAGACCTCACTTATGGGGCAGAGCCATTTTTGGGGTCACAGCCCCTCACTTGTGGGGCAGAACCCCTCACGTGGGGGGCAGAGCCACCCTGGCACTTATGGGGCACAGCCTCTGGCACTTATGGGGCACAGCCCCTCACTTATGGGGCAGAGCTCCTCGTTTTGGGGTCACTCCCCACCCCATGGCACTTATGGGGCACAGCCCCTCACTTTGGGGGCAAAGCCACCCTGGCGCTTGTGGGGCACAGCTCCTCTGGCGCTTATGGGGCAGAGCCATTTTTGGGGTCACAGCCCCTCACTTATGGGGCACAGCACCCCTGGCACTTATGGGGCAGACCCCCCCCATCCCCCACAGGGCCGGACCCCCAACTCCAGAACCACCCCGAGCTTTATTTGGGGTCTCTGTGGGGTTTTTGGGGTCTCTGTGTGGGGTTTTTTGGGGGTTCCTGTGGGGTTTTTGGGGTCTCTGTGGGTTTTGGGGTCCCCCCGATTTCGGGGTCCCCCCTTTGGTTTCGGGGTCACCCCGGGGGGCGCTGGGGGACGCACCCCCCGAGCTCCAGCGCCTGCGGCCACCCCTCGTACTTGTTGGAGCCGCGGCTGTTCCGGACGTGCTGCGGGGCCCCAAATCCCCAAAATCACCCCAAAATCCCCTAAATCCCCCCAAAATTCCCTTTAAACCCCCAAAATCCCCTTTAAACCCCTCAAATCCCCCCCAAAATCCCCTCAAATCCCCTCAAAATCTGCTGCAAAATCCCCCCAAATCCCCCCCAAAAACCCCTTTAAGCCCCCTAAAATCCCAAAATCCCCTAAAATCCCCCCAAAATCCCCTTTAAACCCCCCAAATCCCCCCAACATGGCCCCAAATCTCTCCTTTAAACCCCCCAAATCCCCTAAAATCCCCTAAAATCCCCCCAAAATTCCCTTTAAACTCCCCAAAATCCCACAAAATCCCCCAAATCCCCCAAAATCCCCTTTAAATCCCCCAAAATCCCCCCATATCTCCCCTTTAAACCCCCCAAATGCCCCCCAAACATCCCCTTTAAACCCCCCAAATCCCCTAAAATCCCCCCAAAACCCCTCAAAATCCCCAAAATCCCCCCAAAATCCCCCTAAATCTCCCCTTTAAACCCCCCAAATCCCCCCAAAATCCCCCAAAACCGCCCCAAACCCCCTCAAACCCCCCAAATCTCCCCTTAAAACCCCCCAAATCCCCCCAAAATTCCCTTTAAACTCCCCCAAATCCCACAAAATCCCCCAAATCCCCCAAAATCCCCTTTAAATCCCCCCATATCCCCCCAACCCCCCCAAAAACCCCCAAAATCCCCCCAAATCTCCCCTTTAAACCCCCCAAATGCCCCCCAAACCCCCCCAAAAATCCCCTAAAATCCCCCAAAATCTCCTAAAATCCCCCCATATCCCCCAAATTCCCCCAAAATCCTCCCCAAATCCCCTAAAACCCCCCAAAATTCCCCAAAATACCCTCAAAAATGCCCTTTAAACCCCTCAAAATCCCCCCAAACCCCCCTAAAATCCCCTAAAATCCCCCCAAAACCCCCAAATCCCCCCAAATCCCCTAAAATCCCCTGCAAAATCCCCCCAAATTCCCCACAAAATCCCCTTTAAGCCCCCTAAAATTCCCTTTAATCCCCCCAAATCTCCCCTTTAAGCTCCCCAAATCCCCCCAAAATCCCCTAAAATCCCCCCAAATCCCCCTAAAATCTCCCAAAAATCCCCTAAAATCTCCCCCAAAATCCCCTAAAAACCCCCCAAATCCCCCCAAAATTCCCCAAATGTACCCCAGACCCCCCAAACCCCCCCGGGCCCCCCAAATTCTGACCTGCTCGAAGGGGCTCCTGTCCTGCACCCCTTTGGCCCCCAGGAACACCCAACTGTCCCTGAACCCCAAATCTTTGGCCACGGCGCTGCCGAGCTCCCCAAAAATCCGACGGCTCTCCTCGGTCAGCCTGGGGGGGAAAGGGGTCAGGGGCACCCCAAAAACTGCCCTGGGACCCCAAAAATGGCCCCGGGACCCCAAAAACAGCCCCGGGACCCCAAAAACTGCCCTGGGACCCCAAAAACTGCTCTGGGACCCCAAAAACAGCCCCGGCACCCCAAAAATGGCCCCGGGACCCCAAAAACTGCCCCAGAATCCAAAAACTGCCCCAGAACCCAAAAACTGCCCCGGGGACCCCAAAAAACCTCCCAGCACCCTAGAAAACCTCAGGGTACCCAAAAACCCTCAGGGGACCCCAAAAACAGCCCAGAAACCCCAAAAATCCCAACCAGGGACCCCAATAACAGCCCCGGCACCCCAAAAAACCCTCAGGGGACCCCAAAAACTCAACCGGGGCCCCAAAACTCCCCAGGGAACCCCAAAACCTCCCCAAGAACTCCTTAGGTCACCCCAAATCCCCGCCGGGACCTCCCCAAATCTCCTCAGGGGACCACAAATCCTCCCCAAGACCCCCCAAAACCCCCCTGGGATCTCCCAAATCCCCCCCAAACCCCCCCAAATCCCCCTCAGACCCCTCCATGTGTCCCCAAATCCTCCCCAAGACCCCCCAAACCCCCCCCAAATCTCCACCAGGACCCCCCAAATCCCCTCCAGGACCTCCTAAACCCTCCAGGGATCCCCCAAATCCCCCCCAAAATCCCCCCAGGACCCCCCAAATCCCCCCCAAATCCCCCCAAATTCCCTCCAGGACCTCCTAAACCCCCCAGGGATCTCCCAAATCCTCCCAGTACCCCCCAAAACACCCCCAGGGACCCCCAAATGTCCCCAAATCCCCCCAGGACCCCCCAAAACCCCCCAAATTCCACCAGGAAACTCCAGATCTAACCCCCAGGGATCCCCCAAATCCCCCAAATCCCCCTCAGACCCCTCCAAATTCCCCAAATCCTCCCCAAGACCCCCCAAATCCCCCCCAAATCCCCCCAGGGATCCCCCAAATCCCCCCAAATCCCCTCCAGGACCTCCTAAACCCCCCAGGGATCTCCCAAATCCCCCCAGTACCCCCCAAAACACCCCCAGGGACCCCCCAAATCCCCCCAAACCCCCCGGGCTGACTTGGTGGCGGGGTCGTCGTAGGAGGCCACGAGCACCAGGGTCCCCTCGTGCAGCGGCCGCAGGAAACGCAGCAGGTCCTCCACGTCTGGGAAAACGGGAAATCACCCCAAAAATTGGGGAAAAGAACCCCGAAAATCGGGGAAAAGAACCCCGAAAATCGGGGAAAAGAACCCCGAAAATTGGGGGAAATCACCCCAAAAATCGGGGAAAAAAACCCCCCGAAAATCAGGGCAAAGAACCCTGAAAATTGGGGGAAAGAACCCTGAAAATGGGGCAAAAAACTCCAGCCAAAAGTGGGGGAAATCAACGCAAAAATGGGGGAAAGAACCTCAAAAATGGGGGAAAATCAATCAAAAATTGGGGGGGGGATTTTCGCCCCAAAAATCAGGGAAAAGAACCCTAAAAATCGGGGAACAGAACCCCAAAAGTTGTGGGGAATCAACCTAAAAATCGGGGAAAAGATCCCCGAAAATGGGGCAAAAAATCCAGCCAAAAGTGGGGGAAAAGAACCCAAAAATGGGGAAAAATCAACCAAAAAAAAAGGGGGAAATTGACCCAAAAATGAGGGAAAGAATCCCAACAATGGGCGGGGCCAGGGAGGGGTGGGGGAGGGGCAGATTTGGGGGGGAGGGGCATATTTGAGGTGGGGGAGGGGCAGATTTGGGGGGAGGGGCATAGGAGGATGGGGGAGGGGAAAAGGGAGGGGGAGGGGCCAGGAAAGGGTGGGGGAGGGGCAAATTTGGGAGGGGGAGGATCAGGGGAGGTGGGGGAGGGTCAGGGTGGGTGGGGGAGGGGCCGCTCACCCCCTGCCCACATGTCGAAGGCCTGGGCCGCGATCAGCTCCCCGCTGACCCCTGGGGGGAGGGGCAGGGGGTGAGGGGGAGGGAGGAGCAGGGGGAGGGGAAGGACCCCTCTCCCCCCTCAAATCTGCCCCTCCCCCTCTCAAATCTGCCCCTCCCCCTCAAATCCGCCCCTCCCCCTCCCAAACTTGCCCCTCCCCCTCAAATCTGCCCCTCCCCCGCCCAAATCTGCCCCTCCCCCCGTGCCATTGGCTCCTCCCCCTGTTCTGGTTTTGCCTCTCCCCCACCCCTCTAAGCCCCTCCCCCACCCCACTGACCCCTCCCCCACCCCACCGGCCTCTCCCCCACCCCTCCCCGCCCCTCCCCCACCATTGACCAGGGCGATGTTCAGGCCCCTCCCCACGTTGTTCTTGACACTGCTCATCAACCTGGGGGAAGGGGGGGGGGGGGAGGGGCGGGGTCAGCATCAAATCCCGCCCCCAGCCCCTCCCCCACCCCATTAACCCCTCCCCCACCCGTTTTAACCCTTCCCTGACCCCTTTAGCCCCTACCCCACCCCATTTCTCCTCCCCCACTCACCCCTCCAGGATGATCTCCAGCCCCTCCCCCGCCCCATGTAGCCCCTCCCCCACCCGTTTTAACCCCTCCCCCACCCCATTTAGCCCCTCCCCTGCCTTATTTTCCCCTCCCCCACGCCATTAGTCCCTCCCCCACCTCTTTAGCCCCTCCCCTACCCGATTTTCCCCTCCCCTACCACATTTAGCCCCTCCCCCACCCCATAGCTCCTCCCCCACCCCTTTAACCCCTCCCCCACCCCTTTAACCCCTCCCTCACCCCTTTAACCCCTCCCCCACCTCTTTAACCCCTCCCCCTCTCCATTTAGCCCCCCCACCCCATTAACCCCTCCCCCACCCTTTTAGCCCCTCCCCCACGCCTTTAGCCCCTCCCCCAGCCCATTTCCCCTCCCCCTCTCACTCTCTCCCCCCCAGGCCGATTCTCGGTCCCACCCCTCCCCATTTAGCCCCTCCCCCACCCTTTAACCCCTCCCCCACCCCATAGCCCCTCCCCCACCCCTTTATCCCCTCCCCATCCCCTTCAGCCCCTCCCCCACCCTTTAGCCCCTCTCCTGCCCCTTTAACTCCTCCCCCACCCCTTTAGCCCCTCCCCCACACCTTTAACCCCTCCCCCACCCGTTTTAACCCTTCCCCCACCCCTTTAGCCCCTCCCCTACCCCATTTTCCCCTCCCCTACCACATTTAGCCCCTCCCCCACCCCGTTTTTCCCCTCCCCCTCTCACTCTCGGCCCCCAGGCAGATCCTCGGCCCCTCCCCCACCCCATTAACCCCTCCCCCACCCCATTAGCCCCTTTCCCACATCCCACATCCCCTCCCCCTCTCACTCTCGCCCCTCCAGGCAGATTCTCGGTCCCACCACGTTGGCGGCGCCGCTCAGGAGGCGGAAGGCGAAGTGCCGGGGGGGGCAGGGCCGGGGGAGGCCGCACTTGAACCGGGGGGGGCGGGGCTCTGCGGGGGGCGGGGACAGTGAGACCCCCCCAAAAAAATCCTGACACCCCCCCAAAAAAAAAAATATCCCGAGACCCCCCCCAAAAAAATTCACGGGACCCCCCAAAAAAGTGCCAAGACCCCCCCCAGAAATAAAAATCCCGGGATGCCCCCCAAAAATCCTGACTTGCCCCGCCCCTTTTGCAATTGGCCCCACCCACAATTTAATTAACACCTCCCTTAATTTAATTGCCCCTCCCCCAATTTAATTAACCCGTCATTTTTTAATTGCCCCTCCCCCATTGAATTGGCTCCTCCTCAATGTGATTGGCCCCTCCCCCAATTTAATTGCCCCTCCCCAATTTAATTAACCCCTCCCCAATTGCCCTTCCCCATTTAATTAGCCCCTCCCTAATTTAATTGGCCCCTCCTCCATTTAATTGGCCCCTCCCCCAATTTAATTGCCCCTCCCCCAATTTATTTAGCCCCAAACTCATTTAATTAGCCCATCCCCATTTAATTACCCCTCCCTAATTTAATTATCCCCTCCCCCAATTAATTGGTCCCTCCCCAATTAAATTGCCCCTCTCCATTTAATTAGCCCCTCCCTCATTTAATTAGTCCCTTCCCCTCTTAATTTCTCTTCCTCCCAATTTAATTGCCCCTCCCAATTTAATTAGCCCTTCCCCCAATGTAATTAACCCCTCCCCCTTTTAATTAGTGCCTCACCCAATTTAATTGGCCCCTCCCCCATGGATTTGGCCCCTCCCCCTCACCTGCCGTGGGCGGGGCCTCATCACCTGCAGGGGAAAGGGGCGGGGCTTAAAAGGGGCGGAGCTTAATGGGCTCCGGGGGCGGGGCTTAACGACATCTGGCCTCTGTTTAGCCCCGCCCCCACTGGGTTATTTTGGCCTCCCCTTTAGCCCCGCCCCCTTTAGCCCCGCCCCTAGTGGGTTTTTTCTCCCCTTTAGCCCCGCCCCATTTGGCTCCGCCACCTTTGGCCCCGCCCCCAGTGGGTTATTTTGGCCTCCCCTTTGGCCCCGCCCCTTTAGCCCCGCCCCCTTTAACCCCGCCCCCAGTGGGTTCTTTTGCCCTCCTGTTGCCCCTCCCCCTTTAGCCCCACCCCCACTGGGTTATTTTTCCTCCCCTTTAGCCACGCCCCCAGTGGGTTATTTTGGTCTCACGTTTAGCCCCGCCCCCTTTAGCCCCGCCCCCACTGGGTTATTTTGGCCTCTCCTTTGGCCCCTCCCCCTTTGGCCCCGCCTCCAGTGGGTTATTTTGGCCTCTCCTTTAGCCCCGCCCCCTTTGGCCCCGCCCCCACTGGGTTATTTTTCCTCCCTAGCACCGCCCCTTTTAGCCCCGCCCCCTTTAGCCCCACCCCCAGTGGGTTATTTTGGTCTCTCCTTTAGCCCCGCCCTTTTTGGCCCCGCCCACTCACGCCGCAGCAGCCGCAGCAGGGTGGGCGGGGCCCGGGGCGGGCCCAGCAGTGACGTCATCGCCAGCCAGGCCAGCCCGGCCGCGGCCCCCAGGGCCAGGAGGCGGAGGGGGCCTGGGGGGTCAGAAACAGCCAAAATCACCCCAAAATCAGCCCAAAAGCACCCCAAAAATACCCCAAACACACCCCAAAATCAGCCCAAAAATACCCCAAACGCACCCCAAAACCCAGCCCAAAAACAGCCCAAGATCAGCCCAAAAAACAACCCAAAAACACCCCAAAACCCAACCCAAAACCACCCAAAAACACCCCAAAAACACCCCCAAAACCAGCCCAAAACCAGTCCAAAAACAGCCCAAAAACCACCCCAAAAACCAGCCCAAAAATCATCCCAAAAAATCACCCCAAAAACAGCCATAAACAACCTGAAACCACCCCAAAAACCACCCCAAAAACAGCCCAAAACAACCCCAAAACACCCCAAAATACAGCCCAAAATCACCCCAAAAACCAGCCCAAAACCAGCCCAAAACCACCGCAAAAACCAGCCCAAAACCACCCCAAAAAACAGCCCAAAACAACCCAAAAACAGCCCAAAATCATCCCAAAAACCAGCCCAAAACCACCCCAAAAACAGCCCCAAAATACCCCAAAAACCAGCCCAAAAATCATCCCAAAAATCATCCCAAAAACAACCCAAAAACCAGCCCAAAAACACCCCAAAAATAGCCCAAAAATCCCCAAAAATGCCCCAAAAAGCAACCCAAAAATACCCCAAAAATCATCCCAAAATATCCTAAAAATCAGCCCAAAATAACACAAAAATTATCCCCAAAATTTCCAAAACCTCCCCAAAAACACCCAAAAAATTCACCAAAATTCCCCAAATTCCCACAAAATTCCCACAGTCCCCAAAAATCCCAGAATTTCCCCCAAAATCCCCCGAAATCTCTAAAATCCTCCCGAAATTCCCAAAAATTTCCCCAAAATCTCCCAAATCCTGCACAAATATCCCAAATTTTTTCCCAAATTCCCCAATACTCCCCATAAACCCCCAAATTTCAACCAAATCCCCCCAAAATTTCAAAAATCCCCCAAAATCCACCCCAAAATTCTCAAAGTTCCCCAAAATCCCCCAAAATTTCCCCAAAGTTCCCCCAAAATCCCAAAATATTTCCAAAATTTTTTCCAAAATCCCAGATTTTCCCCCCAAAATCCCAAATTCCCCCAAATCTCCCAAAATTCCCCAAAAAACCAAAATCCCCCCAAAATTCCTCAAAGTTCCCAAAAATCCTCAAAATTCCCCCAAAATTTCCTCAAAGTTCCCCCAAAATCCTCAAAAATTTCCCAATTTTTTTCCAAAATCACAGAATTTCCCCCCAAAATCCCAAATTTCCCCAAAATTCACCCAAAATCTCCCAAAATTCCCCCAATACTCTGTTGAAACCCCCAAATTTCACCCAAATCTCCCAAAATCTCCCAAAATTCCCCAAAAAACCCCAAAATTCCTCAAAGTTCCCCAAAATCCCCCCCAAAATTTTCCCAAATTTCCCCAAAATCCTCAAAAAAATTCCCCAATTTTTTCCAAAATCTCAGAATTTCCCCCCAAAATCCCAAATTTTCCCAAATTTCCCCCAAAATCCCCTAAATTCTGCCAAAATCCCCCAAATTTTCCCAAAATTCCCCCAAAATCTCCCAAAATTCCCCCCAAAACCCCAAATTCCTCAAAGTTCCCCAAAATTCCCCCCAAAATTTCCCCAAATTTCCCCAAAATCCCCAAAAATGTCCCAAATTTTTTCCAAAATCCCAGAATTTCCCCCCAAAATCCCAAATTTCCCCAAATCTCCCCCAAATCCCCCCAAATTCCCCCAAATCCCCTCCCCCCCCGTACCCGCGGCTCTCATGGGGCTCCGGGGCGGCTGCAAGTGAAGGGGGGGGATGGGGGGGTCAGGGACCCCCAAAATCCCCCCGAGCCCCCCAAAATTATCGGGACCCCCCCCAAAATTATCAGGACCCCCCCTGGGAACCCCCAAAATTTTTGGGACCCCCCAAAATTCCCGGGAATCCCCCCCAGGGACCCCCAAAATTAACGGGACACCCCCCCAAATTATCGAGACTCCCCGTGGGACATCCCAAATTCTGTGGGACCCCCCCAGGACCCCCCAAATTATCGGGACCCCCCCCAAAATTCCCAGAAACGATCCAAAATTCCCGGGAATCCCCTCCAGGACCCCCCAAAATTCCCCGTGACCCCCCCAGGGACCCCCCAAAATTCCCGGGACCCCCAAATTTGGGGTCGCCCCCCCCCGCCCCCTCCCCCCTCACCGCCGCTTTCGCCCCGCGCTGCCCCCACCACTTCCGGGTTTCCGCCTCCACCAATCAGCGCCCGACGCGCTCGGCGCGCACCAATCAGCTCGCGCGTCCCGCCCCCCGCGTGGGGCTCGGCCAATCGGAGGGCGTATTGGTGAGGCCAATCAGGAGTGAGGGCGGGGTGGAGGGTTGGCCAATAAGGAGGGAGAGTGGGCGGTGCTGGTGACGTCACGGGCGGGTGTGAGGCGCGGACTACAACTCCCGGCGGCCCCTGCGGCGCGCAGCGCTTCCGGTGCTCTCCCAATATATCCCAGTAACCTCCCAGTGCTCCCAGTACATCCCAGTTTGGCCCAGTTCCCTCCCAGTCCCTCCCAGTGCTCCCAGTAACCCTTCAAGGAGCTTCCCAGTGCTCCCAGTAACTCCCAGTACATCCCAGTATGTCCCAGTCCATCCCAGTAACACTTCAAGGACCCTCCCAGTACATCCCAGTTCCTCCCAGTTCCCTCCCAGTGCTCCCAGTAACCCTTCAAGGTCTCTCCTAGTGCTCCCAGTAACCCCCAGTGCCCTCCCAGTCCCTCCCAGTAACCCTTCAAGGGCTCTCCCAGTTTGGCCCAGTTCCCTCCCAGTGCTCCCAGTAACCCCTCAAGGGCTCTCCCAGTGCTCCCAGTTACTCCCAGTGCTCCCAGTATGTCCCAGTTCCCTCCCAGTGCTTCCCAGTAACCCCTCAGGGACCCTCCCAGTGCCCTCCCAGTATGCCCCAGTTCCTCCCAGTTGCCTCCCAGTGCTCCCAGTAGCCCTTCAAGGACCCTCCCAGTGCTCCCAGTTTCCCCCAGTTCCCCCCCAGTCCGTCCCAGTCCCTCCCAGTCTGTCCCAGTTTGCCCAGTCTCAGCCGTTCTCTCTCTCTCTCCTTTATTCAGCCCCGCCGCGATTTTGGGGTGAAATTTGGGGATTTTGGGCAAATTTGGGGATTTTGGGGTAAAATTTGCTGTAAAATTGGGGATTTTTGGGGTAAATTCAGGATTTTTTAGGGTAAATTCAGGGATTTTTGGGCAAATTCATGATTTTTTAGGCTAAATTCGGGGATTTTTGGACAAATTCAGGGATTTTTGGGTCAATTTGGTGATTTTTGAGTAAATTCGGGGATTTTTGGGGTATGATTTGCTGTAAAATTGGGACTTTTTGGGCGAAATTCGGGGATTTCGGGGTGAATTCGGGGATTTTTAGGGTAAAAGTCGCTGTAAAATTGGGAATTTTTGGGTGAAATCAGGAATTTTTGGGTCAATTCAGGGATTTTTGGGGGTAAAATTCGCTGTAAAATTGGAAATTTTTGGGGTAAATTCCCAATTTTTTGGGTGAATTCGGGCTGGGTTCAGGGGGTGGGGGCGGGGCCGCACTCCGGGGGGTGGGGGAGGGGCGGGGGGTGGGGGAGGGGCGCCCCTCCCCCCTCCTGCAGCAGCCGCGCCCCCAAACGCTCCAACTCGTCCAGACTGAGCCCCCGCAGGGCCCGATCGTAATCCTGGGGGGGGGGACCCCAAAAATAATCAGCGGGACCCCAAAAATAACCCAAAAATCAGCCGGGAGCCCAAAATAACCCAAAAATCCCAACCCAGAAACCCAAAAAATCCCACCCAGAAATCCCAAAATAACCCCAAAAATCAGCCGGGAGCCCAAAAATAACCACCAAAATCAGCCGGGACCCCAAAAATCAGCCGGGACCCCAAAATAAATAACCCCAAAAATTCCACCCCAAAATAACCCAAAAATCAGCCGGGATCCCAAAAATAACCCCAAAAATCCCACCCAGAAACCCAAAAAATCCCACCCAGAAATCCCAAAATAACCCAAAAATCCCACCCAGAAACCCCCAAAATAACCCCAAAAATCAGCCGGGACCCCCAAAAATAACCCAAAAATCAGCCGGGAGCCCAAAAATTATCCGGGACCCCAAAATAACCCCAAAAATCCCACCCAGAAACCCAAAAATCCCACCCAGAAACCCAAAAAAACCCAAAAATCCCACCCAGAAACCCCAAAATAACCCCCAAAAATCAGCCGGGACCCCAAAAATAACCCCAAAAATCAGCCGGGAACCCAAAATAACCCCAAAATCCCACCCAGAAACCCAAAATAACCCCAAAATCCCACCCAGAAACCCCAAAATAACCCCAAAAATCAGCCGGGACCCCAAAAATAACCCCAAAAATTCCACCCAGAAACCCCAAAATAACCCAAAATCCCACCCAGAAACCCAAAAAAACCCAAAAATCCCACCCAAAAATCCCAAAAAACGCAAAAATCCCACCCAGAAATCCCAAAATAACCCAAAAATTCCACCCAGAGACCCAAAAATTCCACCCAGAAACCCAAAATTCCCCCAAAATCCCCTAAAAATCACCAATATTCCCCCACAATCCCCCCAAATTCACCAAATTTTCCCCCAAATTCCCCAATTTTTTCCCAAAATCCCCCCAAAATCCCCCAAAAATCCCAAATTTTCCCCCAAATCCCATAAAAACCCCCTAAAAATCCCCTAAAAATCCCAATATTTCCTCCAAAATCCCCCTAAAAATCCCCCCAAAATTCCCCAATTTTTTCCCCCAAACCCCCCAAACTTTCCCCAAAACCCCCCTAAAAATCCCCTAAAATCCCAAAGTTCCCCAATATCCACCCAAATTTTCCCCAAAATCCCATTGAAGTCCCATAAAAATCCCCTAAAAATCCCAATATTCCCCCCAAAATCCCCCTAAAAATCCCCCCAAAATCCCCAATTTTTCCCCCAAAATTCCCCATTTTTCCCCCCCAAATTCCCCAATTTTTCCCCCAAAATTCCCCAATTTTTCCCCCAAATTCCCCAAATTTTCCCCCAAATTCCCCAATTTTTCCCCCAAAATCCCCCAATTTCCCCCCAAATTCCGCAATTTTTCCCCCAAATTCCCCATTTTTTTTCCCCAAATTTCCCCCCAAAATCCCCCAATTTTTCCCCAAAATTCCCCAAATTTTCCCCCAAAATTCCCCGATTTTTCCCCCAAATTCCCCAATTTTTTTCCCCAAATTTCCCCCCAAAATCCCCCAATTTTTCCCCAACATTCCCCAAATTTTCCCCCCAAAATTCCCCGATTTTTCCCGCAAATTCCCCAATTTTTTTCCCCAAATTTCCCCCCAAAATTCCCCAATTTTTCCCCCAAATTCCCCAAATTTTCCCCCAAAATTCCCCGATTTTTCCCCCAAATTCCCCAATTTTTCCCCCCAATTCCCCAATTTTCTCCTAAAATCCCCAATTTCCCCCCAAATTCCCCAATTTTTCCCCCAAATTCCCCAAATTTTCCCCCAAAATTCCCCAATTTTTCCCCCAAATTCCCCAATATTTCCCCCAAATTCCCCAATTTTTTCCCCCCAAATTTTCCCCCAAAATTCCCCGATTTTTCCCCCAAATTCCCCAATTTTTCCCCCAAAATTCCCCAATTTTTCCCCCAAATTCCCCAATATTTCCCCCAAATTCCCCAATTTTTCCCCCAATTTTCCCCCCAAAATTCCCCGATTTTTCCCCCAAATTCCCCAATTTTTCCCCCAAATTCCCCAATTTTCCCCCCAAAATTCCCCAAATTTTCCCCCAAAATTCCCCATTTTTCCCCCCAAAATTCCCCAATTTTTCCCCCAAAATCCCCCAATTTCCCCCCCAAATCCCCCAATTTTTCCCCCAAAATTCCCCAATTTTCCCCCCAAATTCCCCAATTTTTCCCCCAAAATTCCCCAATATTTCCCCCAAAATTCCAATTTTTCCCCCAAAATTCCCCGATTTTTCCCCCAAATTCCCCAATTTTTCCCCCAAATTCCCCAATTTTTTCCCCCAAATTTCCCCCCAAAATCCCCCAATTTTCCCCCAAAATTCCCCAAATTTTCCCACAAAATTCCCCGATTTTTCCCCCAAATTCCCCTTTTTTTTCCCCCAAATTTCCCCCCAAAATTCCCGATTTTTCCCCAAAATTCCCCAATTTTTCCCCCAAATTCCCCAAATTTTCCCCCAAAATTCCCCGATTTTTCCCCCAAATTCCCCAATTTTTTCCCCCAAATTTCCCCCCAAAATCCCCCAATTTTCCCCCAAATTCCCCAATTTTTTCCCCCAATTTTCCCCCAAAATCCCCCAAATTTTCCCCCAATTTTTCACCCAAAATTCCCCGATTTTTCCCCCAAATTTCCCCCCAAAATCCCCCAATTTTCCCCCAAATTCCCCAATTTTTTCCCCCAATTTTCCCCCAAAATCCCCCAATTTTTCCCCCAATTTTTCCCCCAAAATTTCCCGATTTTTTCCCCAATTTCCCCCCAAAATCCCGATTTTCCGCACCTTCAGCAGCTGCTGCATCACCCGCGCCCCGTCGCGGCTCCCGAAGTGCCGCCCGAGGATCGGCGCCAGTTCGGGCCCGAAGGGGCTCGGGGGGGGCGGGAGGGGGGGAGGGGCGGCCCCTTCCCCTCCCCCACCCTCCCCTGCCCCTCCCCCACCCCCTCCCGCCCCTCCCCCTCCCCCCCCCGGGGGCGGTTTCAGGACGAGGTTCAGCCGCGCTGAGGGTCCGATGGAATAATCGCACAGGCGGCGCTCGTCTGGGGGAAATTCAAATTATTCACCCCGAAAATGGCCCAAAAATGGCCAAAAATGGCCCAAAAATGGCCAAAAATGGCCAAAATAAACACACAAAATTTGCTGAAAATCCGAGTGAAAATGCCCCAAAAAACGCCCCAAACCAGCCCAAAAACGGCCCAAAAATACCCAAAAATGTCCAAAATAAACCCCCAAAATTTGCCAGAAATCCGAGCGAAAATGCCCCAAAAACGCCCTAAAACTAGCCCAAAAACGCCCCAAAAATACCCCAAAAACCGCCCAAAAACGCCCCCAAAATGGCCCAAAACCAGCCCAAAAATACCCTGAAATTGCCAAAATAAACCCCCAAAATCCGATCGAAAATACCCCAAAAAACGCCCCAAAAAATGCCCCCAAAACCAGCCCAAAATGGCCAAAATAAGCCCCCAAAATTTGCCGAAAATTCCAGCGAAAATTCTCCAAAAACCGCCCCAAAACCGGCCCAAAAATGGCCCAAAACCACCCCAAAATTGAAAAAAAATACCCCCAAAATTTGCTGAAAATCCCAGCGAAAATACCCCAAAAAACGCCCCAAAACGGCCCAAAACCAGCCCAAAAATGCCAAAATATCCCCCCCAAATTTGCCGAAAATCCTAGCGAAAATACCCCAAAAAACGGCCCAAAACCAGCCCAAAAACACACCAAAAATACCCTGGAATTGAAAAAACATATCCCCAAAATTTGCTAAAAATCCGAGTAAAAATACCCCCAAAAATGCCCCAAAAGCGCCGCAAAAATATCAGAAAAAAACCCCAAAATTTGCCAAAAATCCCAGCGAAAATACCCCAAAAAACGCCCCAAAAACGGCCCAAAAACACCCCAAAAATGCCAAAATAAACCCCCAAAATTCCCCAAACCTCCCCCAAAATTTCTCCAAATCCCCCAAAGTCCCAAAAATTCCCAAAAAAATTCCCAAAAAAATTCAAAATAACAATAAAAAAGGCCAAGAAAAACCCCAAAAACACCCAAAAAATTCCCAAAAAATCCACAAATCCCCCCAAAATTTCTCCAAATCCCCCCAAACCCCCCAAAATTCCCAAAATTCCCCCAAAATTCCCAAAATTCCGTGATTTCACCTGCCAGGGCCTTGCCGCGGAACAGGAGCCGCTGCTGCTCCACCGGGACCTGCAGCCGCTCGGCCACCAGAGCCTTGAGGGTCCCCACGCGCTCCTCGGGGGCCACCTGGGGGGATCCAGCCCAGAACAGTCATGGAATATCGAAATTCCCGAAATTCCCAAAAATTCCCAAAAATTTCCCCCAAAAATTCAAAAAAAACCCATCAAAAATTCAAAAAATTCCCACTAAAATCCTAAAAAATAAAGAAAAAATTCCCCTAAAAAATCCTCAATATTTCCCCAAAATCCATCCCAGAATAATCCCTCAAACCAAAATTCCCGAATTCCCAAAATTCCCAAAAAATTCCCCCCAAAAATTTCCCCCAAAAATCCCTAAAAATTCAAAAAAAACCTCCCAAAATTCCCAGAAAATCCCCCCAAATCCCCACGCGCCCCTCGGGGACCACCTGGGGGGGATCCAGCCCAGAATAGTCACGGAATATCGAAATTCCCGAAATTCAAAAAAAATTCCCGGAAAATTCCCAAAATTCCCAAAAAAATTCCCAAAAAATTCCCCCAAAAAATCTCCAAAAATAAAAAAAAACCCACCAAAAAATAGAAAAACCCTCAAAATAGAAAAAAATAGAAAAACCCTAAAAAATCCTCAAAATTTCCTCGAATCCATCCCAAAATAGTCCCCAAATCCAAATTTCCCCAATTCCCAAATTCCCAAAAATTCCCCAAAACATTCCTCAAAAAATCCTCAAAAAATCCACAAAAAAAAAAAATCCCACTAAAATCCTCAAAAATCAAGAAAAATTCCCCTAAAAAAAATCCCCCAAATTCCCAAAATCCATCCCCGAATAATCCCCAATTCCAAATTTCCCCAATTCCCAAAAAATTCCAAAAAAATTCCCCAAAAATTCAAAAAATTTCCAAAAAAATCCTCAAAAACTAAAAAAAAAACCCCACCAAAAATCGAAAAAATTCCCCTGAAAAATCCTCAAAATTTCCTCGAATCCATCCCAGAATAGTTCCCGAAACCGAAATTCCCGAATTCCCAAAAATTCCAAAAAATTCCCAAAAAATCCTAAAAAACCCGTCAAAAATTTAAAAAAAATCCCCCTAAAATCCTAAAAAATAAAGAAAAAATTCCCCTAAAAAATCCCCCAAAATTCCCAAAATCCATCCCAGAATAGTCCCCAAAACCGAAATTCCCGGATTCCCAAAATTTCCCAAAATTCCCAAAAATTTCCCCAAAAAAATCCCTAAAAATTCAAAAAAAAAAGCTTTAAAAAATCCTCAAAAAATTAAAAAAAACCCTAAAATCCTAAAAAATAAAGAAAAAAATTCCCTAAAAAAATCCCCAAAAATCCCGCAAAATTCCCCAAATCCATCCCAGAATAATCCCCAAAACCAAAAATCTGAAAATTCCCCAAAAAATTCCCCAAAATTAAAAAAAAAGTCAAAATCCCCCCAAAAAAATCCCAAAATTCCCCAAAATTCCGTCAAAACTCCCCAAAATCCCCCAAAAAATCCCCAAAATTCCCCCTTAAAAAAACCCAAATTCCCCCCCAAAAAATTCCAAAATTGCCAAAAAAATCCCCCCAAAACCCCAAAATATTTGCAAATCCTCCCCCCAAAAATCCCAAAATCCCCCCAAAAAAACCCAAAATCCCCCAAAATTTCCCCTAAAAAGCCCCAAAATCCCCCCAAATTTTCCCAAATCCCCCCAAAAATCTCCCCCAAAATCCCCCAAATCCCCTCAAAATTCCCCAAAATTTCCCCAAATCCCCCCTCAAAATGCCCCCAAAATTTCCCCTAAAAATTCCCCCAAAATCCTACAATCCCCCCAAAATCCCCAAATTTCCCCGTATAAACCCGAAAATCCCCAAAAATCCCCCCAAAAATCCCAAAATCCCCCAAAATCCCCCCAAAAAATCCCCAAATCCCCAAAAATATCCTCAAATTTCCCTTGAAAATTCCCCCAAAATTTCCCCTAACAATCCCCAAAATCCCAAAATCTCCGCCAAAATCCCCCGAAAATCCTAAAAGTTCCCCCTAAAAACCCGAAAATCCCAAAATTTCCCCAAAAAATCCCCCAAACCCCCAAAATCCCCCAAAATGCCCCAAAATCCCCAATTTTTGGCCCCGCCCCTCCCCCACCTGCAGGCAGCACTCGCGGCCCTGCAGCGCCTTCACCGTCAGCAGCATCGGCCCCAAAACCCGCCGGGAACCCCAAAAATCCCCTCGGGAACCCCCAAATCACAGGAGGGGGACCCCAAAAATTGGGGGGACCCCAAAAATCCCCCCCAAAAACCCCAAAAATTCCCCAAAAATCGGCGAGAACTCCCCGGGAGCAGCGAGTTGGGCGGACTCGGGGCCAGAGCGGCACCGGAAGTGGCAGCGAGTTGGGAGGACTGAAGGGCAGAGCGGCACCGGAAGTGGCAGCGAGTTGGGAGGACTGGAGGACAGAGCGGCACCAGAAATGGCGGCGAGAGGAAAGCGGAAGTGAACAGGAAGTGTCATAGAGAGGCGGCGCAAACTGGGCGGGAGTGGGCGTGGCTTAGCGAGGCAAGATGGCGGCGCCCAGGGAGATGCTGCAGCTGTATCCTGAGAGAGAAAATTGGGGAATTTTATGGGAATTTTTGGGATTTTTGGGGAATTTTTGGGATTTTTTGGGAATTTGGAGGTTTGGAATTTCTCAGCAGAGACCTAAAGGGGCGCCCCGAGATTTTGGGGGTCCTGGGGGGTTCGGGGCGGGGTTTGGGGGAATTTTTGGGGGAATTTTTGGGAATTTTTGGGAGGATTTCTGAGAATTTTGGGAATTTGGGAATTTTTTAGCGGATTTTTTTGAATTCTTGGGAATTTTGGGAGAATTTTTGGGAACTTTGGGGCAGAATTTTGGCAAATTTTGGGTGGATTTTTGGGATTTTTAAAGCAGATTTTTTTGAATTTTGGGAGATTTTTTTGAAAATTTTGGGAATTTTGTGGCGGATTTATTACAATTTTTGGAGAATTTTAGGGAATTTTTGGGAAATTTGGGATTTGGGGGGGATTTTTGGGAATTGTGGGGAAATTTTCGGAGATTTAGGGGAATTTTTGGGAGAATTTTGGGGAATTTTGGGGCGGATTTTGGGTAATTTTGGGATTTTTTGGGACTTTTGGGAATTTGGGGGGGATTTTTAATAATTTTTTGGCAAATTTTTGGGAATTGTGGGAGACGTTTTAGGGAATTTTGAGGAATTTTTGGGAAATTTGTGAATTTTGGGGATTTGGGGAGGGAATTTTTGGGAGAAATTTGGGGATTTTGGGGCAGATTTTTGAGACGTTTTGGGAATTTTGGGATTTTTGGGATAATTTTTGGAATTTTGGGATTTTCAAGAAGTTTTTGGGAATTTTGGGGCAGATTTTTGAGAATTTTAGGGAAATTTTTTTGGTGGATTTTTGGGAAGTTTTGGAATTTTTTTGGAGAATATTTGGGAATTTTGGGGAATTTGTGGGCTGATTTTTGGGAATTTTGTGGCGGATTTTTGGGAATGATTTTGCCGGAATTTTGGGAAGTTTTGGGAATTTTGGGGAGAATTTCTGGGAATTTTGAGGGAATTTTTCGGGAATTTCAGGGAGAATTTTCAGTCATTCTTGGGGGAGATTTTCAGGAATTTTGGGGGGATTTTTCGGGATTTTTGGGGGCATTTTTTGGGAATTCCGCCCAGATTTTTTAGGGGGGTTTTTCGGGAATTCTGCCCGGATTTTTGGGGGGAATTTTCGAGATTTTTGGGGGAATTTTCGAGATTTTTGGGGGGATTTTTCAGGAATTCCGCCCGGATTTTGGGGGGATTTTCAGGAATTTTGGGGGGATTTTTTTGGGAATTCTGCCCGGATTTTGGGGGGATTTTTCGGAAATTTTCGGGGGATTTTTCGGGAATTCTGTCCGGATTTTTGGGGGGATTTTTGGGGTAATTCCGGGTGGATTTTGGCACTTCCGGGAATTGTCCTTGACCCTCCCCCCCCGCTCGCTGTTCCTGCCCCTCCCCTCCCCCCGCCTGGCGCTGGTGGCGCTGCGCGCGCTCCAGCCCGACCTGGCCCCGCCCCCCGCATTGGCCACGCCCCCCGGGCGGGCCCGCCCCTCCCCCACCGCCACAGCGAGAGGGGAGAGCCTGGAGCTGTGAGAGCCAAACTGGGACCACTGGGAGGGACTGGGAGTGATACTGGGAGGGACTGGGAGTGATACTGGGATCACTGGGAGCCAAACTGGGAGCACTGGGAGGGGCTGGGAGACAAACTGGGAGCACTGGGAGGGACTGGGAGCCAAACTGGGAGCCAAACTGGGAACACTGGGAGCCAAACTGGGAACACTGGGAGGGAACTGGGAACCAAAGTGGGAAGGACTGGGAACCAAACTGGGAACACTGGGAGGGACTGGGAGCCAAACTTGGAGGGACTGGGAGCCAAACTGGGAACACTGGGATGGACTGGGAGCCAAACTGGGAGCACTGGGAGGGACTGGGAGTGATACTGGGAGCACTGGGAGCCAAACTGGGAGCACTGGGAGCACTGGGAGGGACTGGGAGCACTGGGAGGGACTGGGTACCAAACTGGGAGCCAAACTGGGAGCACTGGGAGAGACTGGGAGCACTGTGGGCGTGGCCAGCGGACGGACCGGCTCTGTGTGGGCGTGTCCCGCCCTGACCACGCCCCCTCCCGCCCTCAGCCAATGGGAGGCGCCGCTGGCGCGGGCGCTGAGGGGCGGAGCCTCGACCTTCCTGGAGCTGCTGGGGCTGGTGCTGGAGACCATCGAGAGCTTCGGGCCGGCCCCGCCCCCTTCAGAAGCCACGCCCACCGCCGAGGCCACGCCCCCTGTTGGACCAAGCCCCGCCCCCGTTTAATAAAGCCACGCCCCCGCTCGGCTGCATTGGGTTTTTATTGGCTGGGGGCAGATGGGGGCGGGGCTTGCGCCGCCCCTCCCCCACCCCGGGCGGGTCCATCCGGGTTCCTTCGGCCTCAGCGGATCTAAAGGGGGGAGGGGAGGGTGAGGCCACGCCCATTGGTATGGCCACGCCCACCTCGAACCTTCCCCTGCCCCCAATTTTGCCCCTCCCCCACTTTGGCCCCTTTCCCACACTTGGCCCCGCCCCGCACTTTTTGCCCCTCCCCTTTTTACCCCTCCCCTTTTTACCCCTCCCCCATTTGCCCCGCCCCTACTTTTTGCCCCTCCCCATTTTTACCCCTCCCCCACTCTTTGGCCCCTCCCCTTTTCTTGGCCCCGCCCCCACCCTTGGCCCCGCCTTGGGGTCCCAGGGGAGATTTTGGGATTTTTGGGGTTTTTTTTGATATTTTGGGGGGATTTTTGGATATTTTAGGTAATTTTTGGGATATTTTTGGGCTGATTTTGGGCAGTTTTGGGTCCCTGACCGTGTACTTGTCCCAGCGTTTCTCGGTGTTGAAGGGACATTTTTGTGGCTAATTTTGGGTTATTTTTTGGATGATTTTGGGCATTTTGGGCAATTTTTGGGATATTTTGGGGCTATTTTTGGGCTATTTTTGGGCTCATTTCAGGCGGTTTTGGGTCTCTAACCGTGTACTTGTCCCAGCGTTTCTCGGGGTCGAAGGCACATTTTTGTGGCTATTTTTGGGTTATTTTTTTGGATGATTCTGGGGATATTTTGAGGATATTTTGGGGCTATTTTTGGGCTGATTTTGGGCGGTTTTGGGTCTCTGACCGTGTACTTGTCCCAGCGTTTCTCGGGGTCGAAGGGACATTTTTTGGCTATTTTTGGGATATTTTTTGGATGATTTTTTGGATATTTCGGGGCTATTTTGGGGCTATTTTTGGGCTGATTTCGGGCGGTTTTGGGTCTCTCACCGTGTACTTGTCCCAGCGTTTCTTGGGGTCGAAGGGACATTTTTGTGGCAATTTTTGGGTTATTTTTTGGATGATTTCGAGGATATTTTTGGGATGATTTCGGGGCTATTTTGGGGCTATTTTTGGGCTCATTTCGGGCGGTTTTGGGTCTCTCACCGTGTACTTGTCCCAGCGTTTCTCGGGGTCGAAGGGCTCCCAGCGGCTGGCGGGGAAGATGTGTTTGTTCTTCTCGTACCACGAGCGCAGAACGACCTTCCCGGCGTGCGACTGTGACGTCATCATCGACCGCCGTGACGTCATCCATCGGTCAGGGTGACGTCATTGATAGGGGATTGACGTCATTGGTCAGGGTGACGTCATCGTGAGACCGTGACGTCATCGGTCAGGGTGACATCATTGATTGAGGATTGACATCCTTATTTGGGGTGATGTCATCGATTGGGGTGGTGTCATTGATTGGGGTGATGTCATTGGTCAGGATGATGTCATTGATTGGGGAGTGACGTCATCACCAGGGGTGATGTCACTGGTCAGAGGTGACGTCATAGGTCGGCCCTGACGTCATCAATTGGGGTGACGTCATTGGTCAGGAGTTATGGCATTGGTCAGGGGTGATGTCATTGATTGGGGTGATGTCATTGGTCAGGGGTGATGCCACTGATTGGTGATTGACATCATCAGTAGGGGTGACGTCATCAGTCAGCTGTGATGTCATCTGTCTGCTGTGATGTCATCATTCACGGGGTGACGTCATTGATTGCAGATTGACATCATCGGTAGGGGGTGATGTCATTGACTGGGGATTGATGTCATTGATTGGGATGATGTCATTGGTCAGGGGTGATGTCATTGATTGGGGATTGACGTCATCGGTCAGAAGTGACACCATCGGTCAGGGGTGACATCATTGGTCAGCTGTGACATCATCGATTGGGGACTGATGTCAACGGTCAGGGGTGATGTCATCGGTCAGCTGTGATGTCATCATTCACAGCGTGACATCATTGTTCAGGGGTGACGTCATTGATTGGGGATTGATTACTGGTCCATATTGGTCTATAATGGTCCTTACTGGTTGTTACCGGTCCGTACTGGTCCATACTGGTTTTTACTGGTCCATACTAGTCCGTACCGGTCCGTACTGGTCGTTACTGGTTGTTACTGGTTTTTGGGGCTCTCACCTCGTCCTTCTCCACGGTGGCGTCGCTCAGCAGCCGAACGTCCTCGTGCACGTCGAAGTTGAAGAGGGGCCCTGGGGGGGGGGGGGGTGCCGCGATGATGTCACAGTACCCACAATGATGTCACGGCCCCAATTATGACATCACAGCCCCCCCACGATGATGTCACCCCCCGTCGATGACATCCCCCCCGTTGATGATGTCACACCCCGTGTCGATGACGTCACACCCCCTGTGCTGATGATGTCACACCCATTGAT